AGAACAAAACTGCTTCTCCCGGCCGGCATGGCTCAGTGGTTGAGCGTCTACTTATGATCCAAGAGGTCACGGTTTGTATCCTGGTCAGGGCACATGCCTGGGTTGTGGGCTCAGTCCCAAGTGGGGGATGTGCAGGAGACAGCTGATCAATGATTCTCTCTCCACACTGAGGTTTCTATCTCTCTCTCCCTCTGCCTTCCTCTCTGAAATCAATAAAAAATATATTTTTAATATATTTTATTGATTTTTTTACAGGCCTATTTTAGTAGGTATCTTTCTTCTCTGGGTTCACACTGATGAGACAGTGTTTGTTTTTATTATTTTTTTTCTTATGTCTATTAAATTGTACTTATCAGTGGTTAATAATTATCCTGAGCAATGCTGGGTAGACATGGCTACTATTCAATAATAAGGAAATATTAAACACCAGTGGCCTGGTGCATGGATTCATGCACATTGAAACGAAATTAATTAAAAGAAGTATTTTAATATCAATATTCACCATTTCTCTATAAGTGTCAGAGATGAAAGAAAATTAGTAAAATGTATATGAAAATAATATATATATATTATGAAAGATTATGACAACACTGAAAGGTAAAAATATGAAAAAATGTAAAAACATGAGAAATATTGATAATATAGTATAAAGAGTATCAAGTGGAAAAAAACACATAATTGTAGGATTACTATATTTAAAATATTTTTTTCAATTGTACATACAGCAAAAACTAGAAAAGCGTGTGAAAAAATGCAAAACTAATTTGTGTGTCAGTGGTAAGATTAAGGTGATTATTTTTCAATTTTAAAAATTATTTTAGTGGCATCATATCACAATTTTCATGAAAATGCAAAAAGGAAGTAAAGGAAAACGTGACCCATTTCTCCATCAATCTACTTTCCCTGTTCATCTGCAAAGCCCTGACAGTGCTCTCTGCCGGCAGCCATCAAATATGCCAGCGCTCTGTTGAGATCAGTTTTGGGTCCATTTAACTACATCGATTTCAATAGTCTCTGTTATGGATAATGGGTTTGCTGAGTATAAAGGAGATTGAAAGGTTGGTGCAGAAATGTGTAAAATGTATAGAAAAGGCTCAGGAGGGTGTTTTTAGTTTGGAATGTGAGGCAGCTCGGGAAGTCATTGGCATAGCTGAGCCAAGGCTGTGGGAAAATGACAGTTTGACCAGGGAGCCAAATCGCCAGTTTCAGAAAGAGGATGCCAGTGCTAACTAACCCAGTTTCACCAGAGAGCAAACACCTCTGGAATTAGAGTGTGAATGTGAGTACAGTTACTGCTTTTGAGGCCTCTGCATTCTTGGAGTAAGACAGAGGTAATGAGTGGCTCTGCCGGCTGAGGCAATGGTGAAAAACATTATATAAATGAAGTAAAGTGAGTGGAAGCACATGTTAATGAATAGAATCTTCGTATATTTTTCTTTTATAAAAAATTATATCTTTATTGTTGAAAGTATTACATATGTCTCCTTTTTCCCCATTAACTCCTCCTAGCCCCCCATTGCCCTGCCGAAGGCCTTCATCACCTTATTGTCTGAGTCCATCAATAGTGCATACATGCATGCAAGTTCTTTGGTTGATCTCTTCCCACCTTTCTACCCTCCCTCGCCTTCCCTCTGAGATTTTTGCAGTCTATTCCATGCTAGAGGCTTCATATTTTATTTTATTTTTTAATATATTTTATTGATTTTTTTACAGAGAGGACAGGTGAGAGATAGAGAGTTAGAAACATCGAAGAGAGAGAAACATGGCTCAGCTGCCTCCTGCACAGTCCCTACTGGGGATGTGCTCGCAATCAAGGTACATGCCCCTGACTGGAATCGAACCCAGGACCCCCCAGTCCGCAGACTGACGCTCTATCCACTGAGCCAAACCGATTTTAGCAGAGGCTTCATATTTTAAATTTTGTGTTAAATGATGGTTTTTTGTAGCTCGGTAATTTACAAAAACATACTGCTTTTAAATCGATAATGGAGGTTTTTTCATGGCAAACTAAGAGTCCTCAGAGTCCTGTTATTGAATAAGTCACAGACACACACACACACACACACACACACACACACACACACACACTGAGGAGAGGAGGGTGTTGCTTTCACTGAGTCCTGAAAGTCAGTAATCTTTAAAGTTTAGAAAGAGGTGTTGCACACCTAGGGAACGAGTCATTATATTTGACTCAAAACTAAGTCTTATTTATATCCTGGCAGGCCTAAGGAGACAAATCTGACATGAAGCCTACAGGAGAGGAACGAGGTTGCTCTAAAGATTAACATGTGGTTTTTCGCTTTGGTCCACACAGAGATGGGTGCCTGGGAGGCCCTTTTTCTCGTCTACCTTCCTCTTTCCTTTCCTGTCTGTTCTGCACCACACACACACACACACACACACACACACACACAGTCTCTATCCTCACCCCAGGCCTGAGGTTCCCATCTTTCTCAGGAGCCTATGATGAAAACTAATTTGTCTTTCTCAATGCCGAGACCCATAAGACTGGGTCCATAGCTGGTTGGCCTTAGGCTTAAGTCTTCCAGGTTCTTAGCATCTATAAAATAGACAAGTCTCTGGCTAATACCGATCATCTCTCACAGCATAACTTTGAAGATTTATTATACTAAAAGGTCCTCTCTCTACTATGATGACACAAAGCAACCAAAGAGAGAAGAGAACTGAGAACTCAGTCCTGCCACGAGTGTGAAGTTGCAAACTTGCACATGTAGAAGTTAAGGAAATTCTTATATTTTCCTGATGGGTTACAACAGTTCACAATGTGGGACACACAACCCACAGGGGAGGGAATTTGACTGTTAAGGGGGGCAATTTGAGAATGAGTTATTAACAGTGATTTTTTGCATTTCTTATGGTTCTAGGGGCCTCATATCAGCATATATATATATATATATATATATATATATATATAGTGACATATTTATGTATTTCTGTTCTCTATTATATGTTTTGAATCTTTATTTGCTTTTTTTCATATCACTTCATATTATTTTTTTTTTAATTTCTTCCTCAGGACTTCAACTGTCCTTTCATTCTTTTATTTTTCTCTGTCATGGATGCCATGTTCTTTGGAAGCTTGTTTACACCAAGTTACTGGTCTTTTAGGCTTCCTCTGCGTGAAGAGGAGTTCACTTTTTGAATAATAAGAATTATAGCCAAAACCGGTTTGGCTTAGTGGATAGAGCATTGGTCTGCGGACTGAAAGGTCCCAGGTTCGATTCCGGTCAAGGGCATGTACATTGGTTGCAGGCACATCCCCGGTAGAGGGTGTGCAGGAGTCAGCTGGTCGATGTTTCTCTCTCATCGATGTTTCTAGCTCTCTATCCCTCTGCCTTCCTTCCTCTCTGTAAAAAATAAATAAAATATATATTTTTTAAAATTATAATTATATGTCACAGGAGGGATATCAGGATTTTAGAGATATTTAGGTTAGGCATGGCACACACACAAAAAAAAGGTTGGGAATCGAGGGTTTATACTGTAGCACCTCTGAGAACATTTGTGCTGAAGATATTTGCACAGACATCTGACTAAATAGTTACCACATAGACACTTGGAAGACTAACAAAGAGAGTTTTCAAGTCACTCACTGGGGAGATCCTGAACAGGAATAGATTTAAGTTTGCCCAACTGAGCCACTCCGCAGGACTTGGAGTTCCAAGCTCCCCTCCCACACATCAATGATGAGAGAGAATCATGATGGCTGCTTTCTGCATGTCCCCTACTGGGGATCCAGCCCAACACCCCAGGCATGTGATTGCTATCGGGAATCAACCATGACCTCCTGGTTCATAGGTTGATATGCAACAACTGAGCCACACCAGCTAGACAAACACTTTTTTCTAATTTTGAATGGAACCCAGATAGTTTGTCCACAGGAACTCTTATTACAATCCACTATCCCTTCTGATGATCTAATTCCCTAAATTCCCCAAGCCTTCTCACTATTTATTCTGTGCCAATGAAATTCTCTTATTCTGCTTCTTGAATTCCCCAACCCCTCTGTCCTCTGCTCATTCTCATATATCAAACTCCAAACACAGGACCTGGGCCTATTGTCTCTCATCCTGAGGGACTGCCATCTGCCTTTGGTTCTAATGCTTGAGAATCCATCCTCTGCACTTTTTCCTGCCAAGTCCTTGTCCTTGTTCTCCTCTGAGAATGGGGAAGTAATAGCAATGAAGATTGTGACATACTCGCCATATGCTAAGTGTTATCACAGCTATTTAAATGTCTCATTATGCACCGCATACGTGTCAAGCCTTAGACTTCATAGGCACCATGTACTAGTAAATCACCCAACGGTACTGAGTGTACCGTTCAGACAAAGTGAATTGCACAAGGTTACAAAGCTACTCGGTTAACTTATCCCGATCCAGTTCCCTTCCCACTATCTTATCCTGAAGTTCTGGGAATTTCCTGACTGTATCATCTGTAATGGTTTCTTTGTCATGCACACAGATCAGTTTCTTTTCGTTTTCCCCCAAATTTCCTAGTCTGTTGAGTGGAAAATATTTTTAGAAGATTCTACTATTGCTCCCTTCACTACCTAGCCACACACCCTTTCATAAACAAACACACATACACACACACACACACACACACACACACACACACACACACTGTTGCTTCAGCTGGCCTCATATCAGAAATAAGAAAAGAAAAGAAAAAAACACCAATATTTCAGAAGAACAAAAACTCTTTACAATGCCAGGACTGGGAAGAGGTAATTAAAGGAAAGAGAAAAATTAAAAACCTACAATGGGAGCGTCTCATCAAAGAGTTGCAAGATGTGAATCCGACCCAGAGACCCATCCTTGTCTACTCTTGGAAAGGGATCTTAACTTGAAACTATCCAAGAGCTCGGACCAATCCAGTAGCAAGAGAAAGGGTGGCTGGGGTGGCCACTGATGGGAGGAGCTCTTAGGCCCAGCCCTGTCAAGGCCTCCAGGGCTCAGGGGCCCACTCAGATTGTGCCAGAAAGCAAGAGAGAGGAACTGGGGTGAGCAAGCATTGTGGCTTTATCTGTTTCCTGTTTCAGCAAGGCTTGCAAAGAGAAACAGCTCCGAGAATGGAAATGCTAAGGGGACGCAGAGCCATGGATTGAGAGCTTGCACTTGATTCAGCTGCTGTCTTGCCCCATCTGAGACCAGAGCCGAGATCTACCCGGGAGCTGGAAGGCTTTTCCGAGCCGCTTGGGTTGGAGCCTGGGACCCAAGGTAACGGAAGAGGAGTATGTTTTTGTGTTCAGGTTGGGGTCCTCCGACTCTGGGGTGGAACAGAAGACCCTCCATCTCTGGAGCTTCCCTGGGCTGAAGGGGGAGACACAGGAGCGGATGGTGTAGCTTAAGAGCGTTGGGTAACTAAGAAAGCACCCCGCGCTGGTTTCCAGAGCCACTGGCCACAGTGTACAGCTTCTTTCACTCCTCCCTCTGTCCGTGAGATTGAACTAGGAGTGAGTCGATGACAGGATTCGGGCTACCTAGTGTCAGGGGCATAAATTAAGTGAACTTTTGCAATCCTCTTCAAAGCAGAGAGCCCCCCAAACAAGTAGCTGACTTTCGAGCAGCTTCGGTGTAGGCCCATCTGACCTGGCTCACACCGAGAGCTCTGGGCTGGGACATCATTCACCACACACACAGCCAGGAAGTGGAACAGAGACTCAGAAGGCATCTCCCTCTGGCAGTGAGGAGGGCTGTCCCCATCCAGTCTCACGTCTCCCCGGAGCTTCACTGGGCCCTGTCATGCTGCCAAGCGGGGCCCCACAGATGCCAGAAAGCCGGGGAAGTGGCCCAGTGACCTATCTTTGAACCTCTCGGGGACCAGTTCCTTTTTCTTCTACGGCCCGTCACTATGAGGGAGCTGACCCACATGGCCTCTTGGTGCAAGCCATCCGAACAGTCCAGCTGTCCCGGGAGCTGGGCATGATTCTGCTCAGCTGTCCACAGAAGTGCTACCAGGCCTGAGAGCGTGGGGGTCAGGGAATGCTCCCTGCTTGAAGGGGCCATTTCTTGCACACCTCCCGCTTGGGCGACAAGCCCCAGCACCTGCCCCTCAGGAAGAGGAGGGGGCGGCATGTTTCAGCAGATTAGTGCAGACAGCCTGGTAGTGTCCAGAGACATCTTCCCTCAGACTCTGCTCCTCCCCACAGCCCTGTCCTCTTCACAACAGGAAGGGGGAGGATTCTTCATACCCAGGGATCCACCTCCTCTACTTGGCCTGTGGTTACCTGGAGCCAAACAGGGTGGGGACCTCGCACCCCACATGTAATGGTGGAGCGCAGGCTGGACACAGTTCTTCACCCCCATCACTTTGCCTTTCTGCCAGGCCTAACTGAGGAGGTGGCTGTGTCCCGACCACAGAGAAGTCCTTTCTTCTTCTGGTCCAAACCCAGAGGCCAGATGAACCAGAGCAGGAGGATGTCCCCGGACTGGCATCCCCTTCGTGGGATAAACAGCACCCCTTCAAGAGAAAAGGGGGCTGGAGGGTATGGCATTCTTGGTCCTGGGAGCGCTAAGTTAGCCTGGGGCCTTTGTCTTACAGCACCATGTCTGCAGTATCCAAGATCAGCAGGACAGGGGGTAATAATGATCATAGCTTATCTTTATTTACACTAATCTATACTAATAAAAGAGTAAGATGCAAATTGGCCATACCTTTGAGAAGCCCCACCAGCCAATCAGGAGTGAGTATGCAAATTAACCCAACAAAGATACCCGGTTAATTTGCATACACAGGGGCCAAGTGGCCAGGGGTGCTCCTGGCCTTTGGGCAGCATGGGAAAGCAGAAAGGTGGCTCTGGGCAGGAGTAAAAAGGCAGCTCCAGCCATTGTGAGGACAGTGCTGGCAACCAGGGGAAGGAAGGCCCATTCTTGCACAAATCTTTGTGCATCAGGCCTCTAGTTATTTATTATAAAAAGCTGTCATTTGTTGTGTGCTTTATGTCAGATGTTTGACATGCATTCTTTTCTTTTCTTTTTTTTTAAATATATTATTATTGTTTTTAGAGAGGGAGAAGGAGAGATAGAAACATCAATGATGAGAGTCACTTACCAGCTGCCTCATGCACACCCGCTCCTGGGGATCAAGCTGATAATTAGGACATGTGCCCTGACCAAGAATTAAACAATGACCTCCTGGTTCACAGGTCAATGCTCAACCGCTGTGCCACACCAGCTGGGCTGATTGCTGGTTTTGATGGCACAGCCTATGTCTGGGCTAAGAAAAGCAGACTTGACACCATACTTAGTTCTGACCGAGAGGTGAGTCCAGAAAAATAAAACTCTCAACTCTGAGAATTATTGAGCTGGATGTTCTGATGCGGGTTTTGCCAGCACTGGGCCTGTGACAGGTGCTTGGCCAATACTAATCTGAGTTGATCTGCACCTGAGAGTCAGAGCCCTGGTCCGGGCTGGGAGGGGGTTGCCAATGGGCCCTGATTTAGAGGAATTAGAGTGGGGTTCTATCCTGGACTATGCCCAGGACCAAGCTCACACCTGGTTGCTAAGGGCTAAGAAGAAAGCAGTGGGTGCTGATCTGAAGACTGGCCACACCTTGGAGAGGTCTGGGTGTCCCTCCAGGCCTTGAGTAGAGTCACTCGCCTGCTCTAATAACAACCTGGGCCAAGACAGCAGTAAAGATGCTGGTTCGTCCTTTAGATTTGGGAACAGGGAGCCATTCAGCTGGTCCTCTAGGAGTCCCCAAAGAACAAACACATCCCTGCAACCCAAAAGGTGACAAACTCATGATGGTTTTTTATCAATTATTTCTCATGCCCCCCTGATTTAGGGGCAGGGTGAGATGTTTGGTCAACGAAGAAGTGGCTGCCAGAAAGACTTTCCACTTTGCAGAGGGGAAGACAAAGGCCGGAGAAAAGCAGAAGTTAGCACAGACTGGGCCCTGAGCATCCTGACTCTCAGTTTGACATCCTCACCTCCTGTGTGCTTCAGCCCACATGTATATGCTATTTCCGCCCCCTTGTCCAGGGAGGTAGTCATTTTTCTGCCCATCTCCTGACCCCTCCCCTTCTCCTCCCTCTTGGCATTTGGCAGATCCCGACAGCTATTCCAGGAACTGGAGGCCACGCACAACAGGTGCTCAGGAGCTCCTCATGATCAGCCCAGACCCCAGGCCTCCCGCCGCCTTGGCCCGGTGGGCCGAGAGCTACGAGGCCAAGTATGAGCGCCGGCAGGAGACCCGTGAGAGCCGCCGCTGCCGCCCCAACATGACCACTTGCCGCCAGATGGGGAAGGCACTGAGGATCCAGCACGCAGAGCAGCTCCAGAGAGCCCGACAGCAGCAGTTCTTCAGAAGAAGGAACCTGGAGGTGGAGGAGAAAGACAAAGTACAGAATGCCCCGGACAGGGAGCAGAGTCCCTCCAGGAGGACAGGTCAGGAGGCTGAACTCAAGAAGCTCTTGGCTGGGACCAACAAGATCCCTCCCCCCAGACAACAGGTGGGCATGCCTAGGGACACACTGCCCTGTGGGGGGATGGGTGGGCTCCAGGTCACTAAAAAGTCATTTAAATTAAGTCTCTTCTTCCTCTCAGTCTTCTAGTGAGGGTTCCCTTAGCCACTTACTCACAGTGGTTTTTGTTGTTTTCGTTTGGTTTTGGGTGTTTTTTGTTTTTGTTTTTGTTTTTGCTTGTCTATTTAGCTATTTTTTTGTTTTGCACTTGCCTTATAGGGAGGGGGAAAAAATAATTTAAAAACAATCCCACAGCTAATTCTTAGTATCAGTTCAAACACAGGCAATCAACACATCTTCTACATCCTTCATTCATCATTCAGCACGTATTTATTGAATGCCTATTGTATGCCAGGGACCCAGGCCTGTCTTCTGATGACCCTCTCAAAGCACACACACACACACACACACACACACACACACATTTATTCTTCTGTGAACTATGGCACCCACCCACCTTTTCTCTTCCTCTTAGGCCATTCCAACTCAACTAAATTCACTCAGCTAAGACCTCATCTTGTCCAGGAAGCCTTCCCTAGCTTCTTCAACTCTGCTCTCATGCGGCTATTAATCCTCTAAGATTAAATAACGACCCAAGTCTGGCCTGGGAGGAAGCTATGCTGGCAAAAGAAACAGGGTGTGTCAAAATATGACCTCAGCCAGCAAACTATCTGTGTCTTCCCATCCATGCTGAGCATGTTGACAGCGGGTGGGTCTACTGTATTCCCTGGAAACGCCTGGCCTTGTGCCCTGCCCAGAGTAGGTGCTCTGTCGGGGCTTCTTAAGGAGTGGACCTGTTGTCCACAGTAGGAGGTACTGTTCAAAAAAACGATCCTCGAACCCAACTGTAAGATAAAACCAACTGTGTACTTTCTTTTTTTTTTTCTTTCTTTTTTTAATATATTTTTATTGATTTCAGAGAGGAAGAGAGAAGGGAGAGAGAGATAGAAACATCAATGATGAGAGGGAATCATTGATTGGCTGCCTCCTGCACAGCCCACATTGGGGATCAAGCCCAGAGCCCAGACATGTGTCCTGACTGGGGATCAAGCCATGACCTCCAGGTTCATAGGTTGACGCTCAACCACTGAGCCACACAGGCTGGGCAGCAAGGTTTCTGAATGCTTTAGTTGAATAACTATTTAAGGAGAAAAAGATTGGTCCCTGGCCAGCGTGGCTCAGTTGGTTGAGCATCATCCCATGAACCAAAAGGTTGCTGGTTTGATTTCTGGACAGAGCACAAACCAGGTTTTCCGGTTCAACTCCCAGTCAGAATGTATACGGGAGGCAACCAACTGATGCTTCTCTTTCATATTGATGTTTCTGTCTCTTGCTCTCTCTCTCCCCCTTTCTCTCACTCTAAAATCAAATAAAAAAAATTAAAAAGAGCCAAAACCAGTTTGGCTCAGTGGATAGAGTGTCGACCTGCGGACTGGAAGGTCCCAGGTTCGATTCCAGTCAAGGGCATGTATCTTGATTGCGGGCACATCCCTGGTGGGGGGTGTGCAGGAGGCAGCTGATCGATGTTTCTCTCTCATCAGTGATGTTTCTGACTTTCTATCCCTCTCCCTTCCTCTCTGTTAAAAAAAAAAAATCAATAAAACATATATATTTTTTAAAATTAAAAAGATCTGGAAACACAATTAACTAAAGAATTCCAACTGAGCCTATCAGTTATCTAAAGTTTTTTTAAGCTGCTTTGGCTCAGTGGATAGAGCATCAGCCTGTTGACTGAAGGGGCCTGTGGGCTGAAGGGTCCTGGGTTCAATTTCAGTCAAGGGCACATACCCAGGTTACTGGCTCAGTCCCCAGTGGGGGGCGTTTAGGAGGCAGCCAATCAATGATTCTCTCTCATTATTGATGTTTGTATCTCTCTTTCCCTCTCCCTTATTCTCTGAAATAAATAAAAATACATTTAAAGTTTCATTGAGATTGAGTTGGTCTGCATGATTCAGTACCACAGGTATTTCTTAGGCTTTGAGTGTTATGTTACAAGCAAAGCATGCCCTTGACTGGAATCGAACCTGGGACCTTCCAGTCCGCAGGTCGACACTCTATCCACTGAGCCAATTTTGAATATGTCAAAAAGAAAATATAAATAAAAAGAGCTGATTAAATTGTGAGAACTACTACTACACCTGTCTCTACAACTCCCTAGTTTACCTTCTCTTCACACACACCTCAACAATATTTCAGCTAATGCTAAAGGATGGAAGCCATCCCTAGAATACAGAAGGGAGCTTGGAGTTCATCTATTCCAAACTCATGACTCCGATAGGAGACTGAGACTTGGAAAAGGTGGGCTCTGATCCCAGATCCCCTCACTCTCTACTCAGACCCGTTCTCTTTCCATATCACATACTGGCTGTGCAAGTGGCTGAGACCAAGCAAGGTAGATGGGGATTCTAGAGAGCCTCGCTGAAGACAAGCCCAGCCTCTGCTTCCTGGCTTGAGCAGGTCCATTCCTGCCAGCTGAAACAGGGAGGGCAAGAGCAAATAACCATGTAGCCTTGAAGGCTTGGAGGGGTTACTCTGGTCCCCTGGACCTGGAACTTGATCATCAGCTGGAATCAGCTGGAGAATCCTGTCCTAGTGGCTCTAGGCAACCAGCATCCCCCACTTGCTTTCCAGGTGCCAGTGACCAGCTCTGAGGTCTTTCCAACCCAACAACATCCTCTCTCAAGGGATCTGGTCAATCATCTCCCCTCCCAGGCCCAGGGCCTTCCACCACAGGACTTTCCCAGCAAGAAGCCACCCAAACACCATCGTGGTAAGAGCAGAACCTCCCTCTTTCACTGGGGCCTGCAAAGAATCCTGCCATGTCAGTCCCAGCTCACTGGCAGCAGAGGGTCCCTGCCCCTCCCCACTTCCCCCCACTTCTTCCCTCTGGTTCTGAATCACCTGCTCCTCCATCTCTCAGGCACTCAGACAAAGGCAAAAGAAGCACAGCCAACAATTAAGAATGATGCCAGTCAGCAAACCAAGTAAGTACCTTCCGTGTTCCTGACCCCAACTCCTTCACATCCCATCCATTTCTCTCTTCTACATTTTTACGTGAATACCCTCCCCCAGTATGTAGGGAACACAGTGAATGTTCGTGTCCACCTGCTAAAAAAAAAGGGGGGGAGGGCAGCTGGTGTGGCTCAGTGATTGAGCATCAACTTATGAATCAAGAGGTCATGGTTTGATTCCTGGTTCCTGGTCAGGGCACATGCTCAGGTTGTGGGCTTACTCCTCAGTAGGGGGCATGCAGCCGATTAATGATGCTCTTATCATTGATGTTTCTATCTCTCTCCTCTCCTTCCTCTCTGAAACAATAAATATATATATATTTTTTTTAAAAGAGGAAGGTTTGTCCACCCTATTGACTTTTCAGTAGAGAACAGAGATGGAATCAGCCCACCACCTCCTAACCTGTTAGTTTCTTTGCTCCATTGTCATTTTTGTTATTTTTTTTCTCTCCCTAGTTGTGGAGTTGCAGTTCTAGATAAGGTAAGAAAATCTTCACCTTGAAGGGGTTGAATCAGATGGTATACAAGCTGCTCCAAACCCTGATATTCTGGGATTCCATGATGAACTCAGCTGTGGTGGAGGGGTGCCTTCTCCCTGGATGAGCATAGACATGAGGGCCAGAGGGACTCTGTCTGAACCAAGGAAAAAAGTTTCCTCTGTACAAGTCAACTCCGGCTCTGGTTCCATGTCCCGGGACTTCAGGAGAACTAGAGTCTTCTTGACTACCCTTTCCTTTCTCTCTAGGAAATCATCCAGCTTTCCGAGTACCTCAAAGTAAGTAACGTGAACTCTCCCCTCAACTCCTCCATCTGGGTACTCTCTCCTGCCAGGTTAATCTTACCCTCTTGCATTCTGCTTCCAGGAGGCCCTGCAAAGAGAGCTGGTTCTGAAACAGAAAATGGTGATTCTCCAAGACCTACTGTCCACCCTGATCAGAGCCTCTGACAGTTCTTGGAAGGTAAGGGAAATGAAACCTCTGTCTGAACAAAGCTCATCAGCTTCTAAGTTTGCCCATCTCATTCTTCTTTCCATGCCATTCCTACAAAAGTAAGGGTTTTGTGTGTGTTTCCTCACGACTGAAGAGGCAGGAGGTAGAAAATGGTGCTAAGACCTAGTCATCAAACAGCAAATATATGGTCATAGAAAATATATGGGACGGCTCAAAATCCAGGGCCACGAGGGGTAGGCTGTTGTGTATAACCCAGGGATGACCCAGAAACAAAAGGGGCAAGAATCCCCAATTTTTAATTTGTTGGAAGAAGGGGGATCCCAACACAATGAATATTACTAGCTGTGGTAAATGTCAGCTATTTTTGTGTGGCACTCATACCAATATGAACTCCCAGCTGGCATGCACCTACTGCTCAGCCTAGACTGGAATCTGAGGGTGGGAAAGACCCGTAGAGGTCATCCGGTCTGTCTCACTTTGCCCACGAGAAAACAGTGTCAGAGAAGTCAGGTGACTCACCCGAAGTCACACTGCTGGTTAGGGGCAGGACTGAAACTAACACTTAGACCTCCTGATGTCAGCCCATTCATTCAACAAATATTCATAGATCATGTTCTCTGTACCGAGCACTGGAAATAGTGAGATTAATTACACAGGGTTCCTGCTTGCAGAGAGCTTCTGGTTTTGTCAGGGAGTCAGATGCCTAAACAAATTCAGAGATATGAGAAATAAATGTTTCAGTTTGGCTCAGTGAATAGAGCATCGGCCTGTGGACTGAGGGGTCCCAGGTTCGATTCCAGTCAAGGGCACATACCAGGGTTATGGGCCCAATCACAGGTAGAAAGCGTGAAGGCGACAGCCAATCAGTAACTCTCATCATTGATGTTTCTATCTCTTCCTCTCTGAAATCAATTTTAAAAAATTATTTTATTGATTTTTTTACAGAGAGAAAGGGAGAGGGATAGAGAGCTAGAAACATCGATAAAAGAGAAACATCGACCAGCTGCCTCCTGCACACCCCCCACTGGGGATGTGCCCTCAACTAATGCACATGCCTTTGACGGGAATCAAACCTGGGACCTTTCAGTCCACAGACCAATGCTCTATCCACTGAGCCAAACCAGTTTTTGCAGTAAAAATATTTTTTTTAAGAAATGTTTCAGGATATAGTAATATATAAGAAGGAATGAATAACTCTAAAGAAGATGAGAACCAAGAAAATATTTATTTAACTATATATTTATTTAACTAAATATTTTCCAGGCAAATGTGAAAGAAGGAACTATATTTCAGACAGGGAATATGACACAGGCAAAGACCCAGGGGCATTATATAGTCTAGTGCTGTAGTCAACAAACTGCAGCTGGCAAGCCACATGCGGCTCTTTGGCCCCTTGAGTGTGGCTCTTCCACAAAATACCACGGCCTGGGCAAGTCTATTTTGAAGAAGTGGCATTAGAAGAAGTTTAAGTTTAAAAAATTTGGCTCTCAAAAGAAATTTCAATCATTGTACTGTTGATATTTGGCTCTGTTGACTAATGAGTTTGCCTACCACTGTTCTAGTGCAATGAGCCGCCAACTTTCTAATCTCAGGACCCCATTATGCTCTTTAAAAAGATACAATGAAACTCTCCCCCCCCAAAATTTTATATTTGCCATGTTAAAAATTTACCATATTAGAAATTAAAAACAGGAATCTTAAAGTACATATTAATTTTAAAATAACAATAGTAAATCCATTACATGTTAACCTAAACTTCACATTTTTAGGAAAAATAAGTATATTTTTAAAAAATAGTAAAAGGAGTACCACTGCTTTAAACTTTTACAAATCTTTTTTTATAATGTCTGGCTGAACATAAGACAGCTACATTCTCAGATTTGCTTCTGCAGTCAATCTGTTGCAAAACATTGTTTTGGTCAAAGCATATGAGGGAACTCTGACCTCAAACTGATCTGTAGCTGGGAAAGGGAAGAACTCGCTTGAGAAGGTCTCAGGGATTCCCGGGGCTCCTCAGATCCCACACGGAAACCCCTAGACCAGTGTGTTTAGGGAGCTACAGGCAGTTTGATGCCATCAGAGCGTAAAGCACCAGGTGCAAAGAAAAGAACCCACATCCTCAAGGGCCTCTGTGCCCTATAGTCTAGCCCACCACACAGATGGCTTATGCTCAGACAGAAAGAGGAAATGGAGGGCGTGGAACCAAAATGAGATGTTTGCAGTGATGTAAGAAAGATTTCCTAAGCTCAGCCCTCCCTCCTCGCATCCCTCATTGGGCCTGGGTTTGGGTATCTATGCTCCTGATTAAGGAAGTCCTTCCCATCCATACACTAGGAGCCTGGGACAGGCAGCTGTGCAGACCAGAAGGTTCCCAGGGCTGACCTACATGGAGAAGTTTCTCTCTTTTACTCAACAGACAGTTGATAAGTTCCCACTCTGTGCTGGGCCCTGTGCTACCGGGAAAAATGAGGAGCGGGGTCTTTGCGGCTGAGGGGCTCACCCTCAGCAGGGAAGGGAGAGACATGTCATAAACAACCAGCACAATGTGACAAAGCTGTAACAGCGGTGTCTACAAGGTGGCCCAGAGAAGAGAAGAGAGCCATTCTTTGGCCTGAGGTGGAATAGGGCAGGTTCTAGAGGACAGGGACCATGGAGCTGGATTCTGGGGGATGAGGCGGAGTTTACCTGGACCAAAGTGGGAATGGTGATGAGGCAGAAAAAGCAGAAGGGCCAAGGAACCAGAACGGATCCAGGCCGAGGTATGACAAAGCACTGGGTGTAGCAGCGTGTGGCTGAAATGAAGAGATTGTGTCAGTGTGGTTACAAAGATAAGACCAGAAATGACTTCAGACAAGCCTCTAGAATTGTCACCGTTAGACTTTTTCTGTTGAACATAGTATCTCAAACTTACATAGTATACGGACTCCACTTCAGAGGGAAAATACAGATATCTCAGATCCATGAGAGTGCATGTTATCTGCAGTTTGGGAAACACGGCTGTAGACAATAAGCAGGATAGCAAAGGAACTAGGCTTTATTCGGGTTAAAAGTCCTTCAGTGTCACCCTGGCCGGTTTTGCTCAGTGGTTAGAGTGTCAGCCCCCAGACCAAAAGTCATGGATTTGATTCCTAGTCAAGGGCATGTACCTTGGTTGCAGGCTCCATCCCAGGCCCCAGTTAGGGCACCAGAGGGAGGCAACCAATCGATGTGTCTCAAATAATTTCTCTCTCCTCCCCTCTTCCCTCGCTTCTACTTGCTCTGGGGAAAAAAAAAAAAAAACAAAAAATCAATGGAGCCCTGGTTTGGCTCAGTGGATAGCACGTCAGCCTGCAAACTGAAAGGTCCCAGGTTCAATTCTGGTCAAGGGCACATGCCCGGGTTCTGGGCTTAATCCAATCGGGGACTTGCAGGAGGCAGCCAATCCATGATTCTCTCTCGTCATAAATGTTTCTATCTCTCTCCTTCTTCCTACCTCTCCAAAATCAATAAAAATATATTTTAAAAATATATTTTAAAAATCAATGGAAAAAGTATCCTGGGGTGAGGATTAAAAAAAAAAGTCCTATAGTGTCTGGTCCATCCTTAGAAGGAGCTCAATCAATAGCCCTGGAACTGAATTGAAAGTGAGTGATGAGACTGTGTTTTAAAAGGTTCTCTGACAACAGTGGGGACCCTGGCTAGGGGTAGTGTGCGGGTAGTGAGCACTTACAATATCCTACATTAGGACACAATCAGAGCTGGAATGGCAGCAAGCTCGGTGGGAATGGGGAAGGGGTGATAATGGGTAAGAGACATTTTCGAGGTAGACTCTGGGGCAGTTTTACACCACACACTCCAGCAGGTGAGCAGAAGTCCCCCTGGCTGTGGTTTCTCTCTTCCTGTCCCTCCCACTGCTCACCCTCCCCTTCTACATCCTCCCCATCAACCCCCTCGCTTCCTGTTTTTAAGAAAAATAGTCTCAGACTTTTCAATAAAGACTTTTCAGTTACTTTTGCCCCAAAACAAGGCAATTCAACCTTCTACCCCTCCCTTGGAAGTCTCAAGTTCAGTGCAAGGATAGCTCTAGTCAGGTGTATTTGGGGAAAATAATGGGTGTGGCCAGAACAGGACATTCAGCCCAGTTCAGACCTTTATTTTTTCCCATTTGGTCTCTATGAATTGAATCTCCAACTTCAAACGCAGAGATGCTCACAGCAAACTCTGTGAGAAACCCCAAGGATCAGCTCCCTCCATGGCCCCCAGCCTCCAAGCTGATGCTGGGCCTTTTGGATGCATTAGTCCTAGGGTACCACCTAGGGTACAACCTGCAAAGCAAAAGCAGTCCATGCAGGAAAGCAACTTCTCAGAATTGGGTAATAAAAAAACAGGAGTGGGGCACCAGTGGGCTTTTAAGTTCCGCAAAGTAGAAAGGAGATCTTGAGATGACAGCGCGGCCGGGGATTGGCTGAGATTGACAGCCACCTCGGGGAGGGCGGAGGGGAGCTGGGGGCTGGTGCCTCTGCTTCTGCGGTGAGTGGGGGCCGGAGCTTCGGCGGTGCAGTGCTGGTGTGCCTGGAGAGCAGAGGCAGGGGAGAGCCGAGTGATACACGGGAGCTGAAGTGATACACGGGAAGCTGAGTGATACACGGGAGCTGAAGCCCTAGACCGGCACCAGGTGTGTATGGCCTCCACCTCGCTCCCTTCTCCAAACGGGGGTACTGGACTCCCTGAGCCCTGGGCTCTGGGGCTGTGACTGCCCCAAAAAGTCCACAGCAGGCCTGTAACAAGTGCTTCTCCCCACATCCTGTGGGGAGAGCTGGGGCTCAGACCAGGAAACTACATGCCCCATTTGCAACAACTTGGCTGCAACTGTCCTGCCTGCCTTGGGGAGTCTGTGCAGAGCTATAGGCAAGAGAGTTGTTGTGTTTTTAAATATATATATTTTATTGATTTCTTACAGAGAGGAAGGGAGAGGGACAGACAGCTAGAAACATCGATCAGCTGCCTCTTGCACACCCCCTACTGGGGATGTGCCCGCAACAAAGGTACATGCCCTTGACCGGAATCGAACCTGGGACCCTTCCGTCCGCAGGCCGACGCTCTATCCACTGCTCACCCTCCCCTTCTTCCTCCTCCCAGTCAATCCCTTCGGCTGTTGTTGTCGTTGTTGTTGTTTTTATTCCAAGATTTGAGTGGCCCTTGATCCCTGATAAAGGGGGTTCTGCTGCATTGTGTCACATTGCAAGATGAATGGCAACGTAACCCGGGGTGTGGCTAAGATACAAAAACAGTTGGAAGAGGTAAAATATTGAGTTGAAACCAGAGTAAGGGAGGAGAGAGGAGCCACCGAAAAAGGGTAGGACACTGGGGAAAATGTAAGAATGTTGCCGTCGGTTGGTCTGTTTTCTTCCCAAGGTCTAGCGAGATAAACCTTAAACCCGTGGGCTTGATTGCAATCTGCAGAGCAGGAGCTCAGGCCGAGGAGAACTCTGCAAAGTCGGAAGATCTGAGGCAGGAGATGCGGGTGTGGAGGGCGTGGGTTTCAGGACCTGTGCCCTGACAATGCACAGGCCGCCCTGGGGAATGCAGCCCTGGAACCAGCTCTTCTGGAGCCCAGGACAGTGGAGGTCTTTGTCCAGCTCTGTTATCGGCCCCAAAGCCCCGTGGTTATTGTACTCACGGAATCCCTGCCTCTCCGCTCTCACACGAGACGCCAGGGAAAACACCAGTGGCAGGAGGCACTTTGAAACATTATTTTCGGCAAAGCCTTTTGCTTTTGCAAGGCCCAGCTGAGTGATACAGGAAGCAGACAGGGCACCTGGCTCCCCGGGTTAGAAGAATCAGTCTAACCTTCTAACTGTCTAATACCACTTCCTGCCTCCCTCAGGTGCCCTGAGCTCCCTGGGGCAGGGAGCGGGGGGAAGGAGGGGGGGGGCGCCTCAAAACAGAGTCCCCGCTTCAGCCCCAGGAAACCCTTAGGGGCATTGGAAATGCGCCTAAGAGGAGCCCGGGCACTTCAGGCCGGAGGTGGAAGAGGCCTCACAAGTGTCCCTCCCACAGGGCCTGGCTGGCAAAAGCATCAGTTACTCCTAAGAGACCCATCCTTGCCTTTGGGAAACTATTTCCCCATGGCACCCTCCCCTCTCCCCCACTCCCTCCTTAAGTCAAGTTCAGGGCTGGAAGACCAAAACCCCTAGCTGGGGAAAAGAGACGAGCCTACAGGTGGCAGCAAGGAGGTTGTTAGCTCCTGAGCTCAAATGTTGAGAAGTGGAGGATCAGATAAGGGGCCCTTCTGCCTGCTTTTCTCTACCCTCGCTCTTGAGATCAGCATCCCTCTTGCAATGTCCACCATGCCCTTAGGCAGACCCAGTGATGAGTAAATAGAATGTAGCTTTCTGGAAAGTCCTTCTATTATACCACCCACCCCTACACACACACACACACACACACACACACACACACACACACACACTGTATTAACATCTCTCCTTCATTTCTTTCTTTCTGTTTTGCCACATATACTTTATTGGGACAAAAAACACAGTATGTGTATATTGTTAGTAAAATCACTTTTCAAAAGTAAAACCTTCCTCTCCCATGAACATCCCCCATAGGACCTTCTCCAAAAACATAACCACTGTTAGTTTCTTACAATTCCTTCTAAGCATGAGGGCTGAGGGGGAGATACATAAATAATCTATACAGATGTCTTTATGTATATCTGTCAAAAAGTCATACACATATTTAATAAAATATATATATTATTCATAATTTTCTGTACCTCACACTTACATGTAATAATGTAGTTTGAAGATATTTACATACCAACACCTACAGATCGACTTCATTTTCTTAAAGTATCTGGGGCATCTTTGCATAACTAGTAAAGCATCATTCATGCGTCCAGTTCTCCCTAAGGGATACTTTAATGTATCAGTCTTGTTGACTCTCATTTCTTGCTTTCTTAAAGAATTTCTCATTTTGAGTAGTGAGGTGACGGGATGGGGGTGGGGAGACAGTGAGGGGACTGTATAAGTTTGCTAAGGCTGCTATAACAAAGTACCAAAGACTTACTGAATGGGTTATCCAACTGAAATGTATTTTCTCACAATTCTGGAGGCTGGAAGTCTGAAGTGAAGGTGCTGACAGATTGGTTTTTTTTCCTAAGGGGTCTCTCCTTGGCCTGCAGATGCTGTCTTCTCCCTGTGTCCTCACACGGTCTTCCCTCTGTGTATCCTGATGTTCCAGTCCCCTCCTCTTATGAGGACACCAGTCACACTGGAATAGGGCCAACCCTGATTACCTCATCTTAACTGCCTTTTTAAAGACTCTTTCTCCAAATATAGTCAGATTCTGCGGTACAAGGGGTTAGGATGTCAACATAGAAATGGGAGTTCGGAGTGGGGGGGAGGAAAGAGGCACAATTCAGCACATAACAAGGGGTAAGAGAGAGAATGTATACTCCCCCTAGGAGAGCAATCCCCTATACTTTAGAAGTAAAGGTCCACGTACAAGACTGAGAGCAGGTGAGGAGTACACAGGTGCCCAGACAGTCAGAAGAGAGGTAACGAGGGCAGGAAAGGACAGGTTCCCTTAAGAAAACCCTGCTAGGATCCCTGAGCCATTTGATAGAGAAACTCAAAGTAGAGAGAAGACGTTGGGGGCCAGTCTGATTCTTCCTTTTCCTATTCCAGAAAAAGAGGAATCAATCCTCTTCTACCAAAAAAAAATCCTTTGTCATCTTTCCTCTTCCCTACTTCTTGAAAGAGTTCAGTTTGGCAAACATGTAGCATAGGCCATGTCGAACTCAATCAGAGAAGGGGCCAAAATCTAAAATCCAGCCTAAATCACGTTCCGAATGGTTTACTGAACACTCATAAACTGTCATTGTGATGGAAACGCAGTGGAGTGCAGTGATGACAGCGCGGTGCGGGCCACATTGCAAGGCCTGGCGGGACGGATTTGGCCCGAGGGCGTTGTGTTTGACACATGTGTTCTAGACAGTAGTCTGGGAATACGGAACCAAACATTTTGTACATTTTGGCCCAAACTCTTTTATTCATCCCATTTCTTCCAGGGACAGCTCAATGAAGACAAATTGAAGGGCAAACTGAGATCCTTAGAAAACCAACTGTACACCTGTACCCAGGTAAGCCTTCCGGAGAGCACTTCTAGCCCAGGAATCTAGAATTAAAGGAGGATGCTTGAATCTCAATCTTATGCTCTAGAAATGCCACCAGATAGAGATGAAAGCACACCCTCCTACTCACCCAGTTCTGGCTTTGCTATTTTCACTTTGATCCCCAATACACCACGTGTCCACGTTCTTCATCCTCCTCTCCCTTTCTCCCAGTGCCCTTCCCTTGGCACCCTGGGGAGGAATCTCAGCACCAAGCACTTTGCCAGCTCCAGGACAACCTGGAGAATACCGGGAGCTATACGGAGGAGCCCGTAGTAGGGATTCACACCACCCAACTAGGCCTACACAGGTCCCAGTTTTTGAACAGTTGAGTTGAATGTTATCATGAAATTTTTCAAAATTCTTTTCATCCCATGGGCAATTTTCATCTTGTAGCAACCTGTGGACAATGTTGTAAGGCTGAACTCTTGGCTTCCCTGTGGCATTGTTATCCAGCTTCCGTAATCCGAAGCTTGATTGGCCTGATCTTGGATTGCAAGAGATAGAAAGAAACCAGCTTTCACACTTCTGAAGTGATGTGTTTCTGATAAGTGGGGACAATGTCAAATAAGAGAATGAGTTGGAGCAGGGAGATTGCTCCTATCTGGAGTTAGGGAGATAAGGTGGGCTTGGCCACTCAGAGGAGTTTATGGAAGAGTCTATTGATTGGCTGATCCACAACTTTAAACTTTCAGTATGACCTCTTTTGTCAAATTCTAAATTATAAACTAAATTGTGCCAACCACTCATAAGAGACCGACATATAATCCAGAATGCCAATGCGTTCAATTTCAATGGAGGATAAAGCTGTCCAGCAACCAGCACATTTAAGTCCAATAATGGGGACATTGCCATGTATGACCTCAACCGATAATTCCTGGATATGCTTTCTAATGAAAATTCTAAGAGCATAAGACCCATTCACATTTGAAGTCCAAATTTTCAGGTGATTCCAAAGCTAAATGGGAATTTCATATGGATCCCTAAATTTGCATTAACTAGGTTACTGCTTACCCAGTGGGTAATCCAGAATTGACAATAAAAGCAACCTGTGTTCCCCAAAATCACAGAGCATAAAGGAGAAAGGCTTTGCTCAGTGGATAGAGCATCTGCCTGCAGACTGAGGGGTCCCAGGTTCGATTCCTGTCAAGGGCATGTGCATTGGTTGTGGGCACATCCCCGGTGGGGGGGGGCATGGTGCAGGAGGCAGCTGGTCAATGTTTTTCTCTCATTGATGTTTCTAGCTCTCTATCCCTCTCCCTGCCTCTCTGTAAAAAATCAATCATATATATATATATATATATATATATATATATATATATATATATATATTTTTTTTTTTTTTTTTTTTTTTTTTTTTTAAGGTGAAAGGCATGGGGCCCTGGCTGTGCTGCTCAGTTGTTTGGGGCATCGTCCATTACATCAAAAGGTTGTGGGTAGAGTAGAAAGATAGAGACATGCAGGAGATACTATGTGAACACTAAAAAGAGCTACCTAACCCATAATGTTTGGGGGTAAGATAAGATTTAATTTACATGACTCTTGGGTTGAATCTTGAGCATGAGTAGAAGTTAACCAGGTGAAAAGAGTGGGTAAGGATGCTCGAGGGCCTAGAGTCTAGGCAGAAGCAGTTCCATGGGCAAAGGCTATGGCTTGGGAAATGTGTAAGCAGCTCAGCTTGGGTGGAGGAGGCGTAGAATGAAAGCCCCGGCCTATTAAGTAGGGACCACGCCGAGGGATTTGGACCTGGTCCTCAGGACCCTGGGAATCCACTGAGAGACTGAAACAGGTTGTGACAGGATCAGATTTACATTTTAGAAAGAACCTTATAGCTGCGGCACTGAAAGAGTTTGCATTGACTCATAACATTATTAGAGTCTGAACTAAGGGATTGGTAGTAGGCTAGAGACAAGACAGGTGTGAGCTGTAAAGGAGCTTAACTTGACAAGATTGATGACCAATTGAATCCTGGGAGAAAGCAAGAGAGAAATCACGGCAACTCCCAGGTTTAGAGCTTGGGAGATGGGATTGGTGATCATGCTGGTCACTGAGATACTGGAAGCCAAGCCGAGAGAAAGGAGCCGATTTAGAAAGCTTTGCCAACGGCCCTGTTTATTATCTCCGCTCGCCTTGCACGCCACCTGAGGGACTTTCCCTGCGGGGCTCTCCCAGGGAAGAAAAACTCCACCAGATTACTGGTATTTCTGCCCTGTGGGCAAATTCTTTTCATGTCAGTATCCTAGCTCAGGATTGGCACACGGAAGTTCAATGTGTACTTGTTGAATTGCATCAAATTTGCAGAAATATTCCCCTTGGGGGATGAAGAAGGTGCTGATGGAGATGGAAGACCAGAAAAACAGCTATGAGCAGAAAGCCAAAGAGTCACTGCAGAAAGTGCTGGAGGAGAAAATGAGCGCAGAGCAGCAGCTGCAGAGCACGCAGGTATGGGGTGCTGCATAGTGACTGCAACTGGGGACCCAGGGCGGTGCTGGGAGTCAGCTGCACAACTCCCAGGAGCCAAGGTGCCACCCTCTCCCTTGCTCTCCCTCAGCGGTCCCTGGCTCAGGCCGAGCAGAAATGTGAAGAGTGGAGGAGCCAATATGAGGCTCTGAAGGAAGACTGGAGGGCCCTGGGGACCCAGCACAGAGAGCTGGAGAGCCAGCTCCACGTGCTTCAGTCCAAACTGCAGGTACCAGGCCCTGGAGGTGGGGAGGAGGGGAGGTGGGGAGGTGGGGAGGTGGGGAGGTAGAGAGGTGGGGAAGTGGGGAGGTGGGGAGGTGGGGAGGTGGGGAGGTGGGGAGGTGGGACAGGGGGTGGGGTTTAGGGGGAAGAGGGTTTGCAACAGCAGTGATGAGAGAAGCGGCTCCTGGACTGGGGGCCCCAAAGGCAGTTGAGAGCATCTGGCTTTTGGTTCCTCATTCACTGCCCACTTTGTCCCAGACTCACTGTTTTGACTCTGAAATCTAATGTCAAGGTTAGCAAGGACATTTGCACTGCCCACGCAGACAAACGAAGTGTTCGTTAGAATGGCACCATCCGAATGCAAAGGGCTGAAATATTCATCGGCCTACTGTCGGATCCCAATCCAACCTCTGCACCCATCCCAGGCCAGCATCCGATTCAGAAATGCCCGCTACTGGCACAGAACAAATGCCATTAGTTTTCTTATAGGCTGGGTAGTAACATATCCTGCCATGTCCTTGGCATTCTCAAGGGTACTATCATTTCTGATCTGCATTACCTTGGAGAAGTTAACCAACCTCAAGCCTCAGTTTCTTCATCTCGAAAATAAGTAGCTCTATCATAGGGTTGCTAAGAGGGGTAAATGGTGTATCCAGGCAAAGCACTTAACACCATTCCTGGTATATATGAGCCCTCATAATATTAGCTGTTATTTTCCATAGATTTTCTCTTACTCGGTTTAGAATTGTGAGGACCCAAATCAAAAGGTTTATCTAATTTTCCTGAAGCGGGGATCTGAATACAGTTCCCTTGATAAGAGGGTGTCTTATCAAATGAGTGAATCTACTGACCACTGCATTGCATCACTATCTCAAATCACTTACAAAGTGACTCTTACAAATCTTTATAACCTCAATTCTTTGTGAAAATGATGCTACAAAAAAAAAATTGGTAATGCTAGGATGAAATGTAAAGATAAAGTGAAAACATCTAGAAAAATGATGATTTGGTATTCCTGAATTTGGACATTTACTATATGAGCCCCTTGTGAATATTTAAAAAACAACAACAACAAATATATATTACAAATAATGCATATATATATATATGCATTATTTGTAATAAAAGGAATAGAGCAGAGCAAACGCAAGATTTTTTTCAAGTCCCTATGTTTCTATTTCTCTAGTATTCCTATCTCTAAAATTCTACAATTTCCTGTAATTTTCCTCTTCCACGGGATCTGCCCCCCACCCTCCACCCTAGCACTGCCCGGCCTCTGCATCGGCCCCTCTTCCTCCCTGCAGGGAGCAGACAGCAGAGATTTCCAGATGAACCAGGCTCTGCGACTTCTGGAGAATGAGCACCAGGAGCTGCAGGCCAAGATCGAATGCCTCCAGGGAGACAGAGACCTGTGCAGCTCAGACACCCAGCACCTCCAAGGTACCCTCTCCTCAGAGGCCTCTGGCTGAGTGAGACCAAAGGAGCTGGATGGAGAAAGGGACTTCGGGCGGTCTCTCACTGGTTTGTTTAGTTGACTTTAAGATCCCATTATACCTTAAGGGATCTAAATGACTGAATCTAAATGACTGAAAACTGAGTTGGTGGCACTAGCGCCTCTCGGAGTGTCAGCTCTTTTCCGGCCCATCCCTCTGGGCCAGACCACAGCAGCTCCACACAAGTCACATGTGTCCAGGCCACATTCCAGATTTGAAAGGGAAAGGCCAGTTGAGAGGTTTCTGAGCTGAGCAGTCAGCTGAGAGGACCAAACCAGGGGCAAATAAAACACTTTCATGCACCCATTTGTTAATGCAAATGACATCCAAGGGGCTTTGGTTCTGGTTTGCCTCTTCAGAAGCAGGAAAGCAGAAGGAAGGGCAACTTGCACTTGACACATATCAGAGGCCACGGGCAAGGCGGTGCCTGTTATGAATTTCCATCCTCATGTGTCGAGTGCATTAATCTTGGGTTCTTCTATTTTGGTTTGTATTATTTCCCTTTTAGATCAACTAAGGAGGTCGGAGGAGGAGAAACTCGCCCTGGTGACCCAAGTACAGCAGTTGCAGAGTAAGTTCCCTTTCCAGATTCGAAAAGTAGCACGGATGGCCTTCCGGTCAGTGTTCCTGGGGGCTCTTGCCCCATGGAGAAGGGATTGGGGTCCAGTCTTTGGCAGCTCCCCTATCTCAAACATCCCTGTTCCATGAAGGGAGGTCATTTACATAGTTCTTCATACGTTATAGATTAGCCTGTCCTTTTTTTTCTTTTCTACTTTTTTTCCTTCCATGCCAATGATAACCACCTATTATCATGGCAAGGTTGGTTCTTGCTGAGGGTTTTGAGGGAAGGATCTGTTCCAGGCTACTTCCCTTTGGCTTGTAGCTGCTGTCTTCTCCGTGTGTCTCTTCACATGTCTCCCATTGATGCATGTCTGTGTCCAAAGGTCCCATTCTTATCAGGATGCCAGTCATATTCGATTAGGGCCACCCTAATATCCTATGTTAACTATTATAGATTACCTCTGTAAAATGCCCTACCTCCAAAAAGATCGCATGCTGAGATCCTATAAGTTTTGACTTCAACACAGTTTAACCAACTTAACCAATAATAGATGGGGAAACATCTTTAATATTAAGGTTCTGAGCAAAGTTCTGAAAAGCCACGCTTTGCAGTAAACATACCAACACAGACACGTTTCTTGTCTTTTCCAACAGGTCTGCTTCAGAGTCAATCCTTACAGCTTAAAGAGCAGGAGAAACGCTTAATAAAGAAAGGTCAGCAAATTTACTTCCACGAATTCTAAGACTTTGCTCTTTCCGTGCCTGCCTAGAGGCCATGCCTACATGGCCTCCTACATGGCCTCCTGGAGTCCCATCCAGTTCTGGCATCTGTTAGGTCAGGGATCTGGGAAAGCTTTCTAAGGACTGATCACTGGCTCTGAGCACACTTTAACTAGTTAACCTCCTACCCTGAGAGGTACGTAAACTGTGAAAAAGAATTTCCACTTCCCCTGAAAACATGTCTGTGTTGAACATTTCAATAAATTGATTTTTGAACTCAGGATTGCATGTCAATTTTTACACTTGACTTTCCAAATCACATCCTACTTCCCCCCTTCTAAACCATGCTGCATGCAAAAGTTACCTCAACTCTCAGCCCTCAAGCTTCCTGAGAATCCATCATTATACGGAGGGGCAAAAACTCCTCACTTACCACTACACAAGGCCTTCTGTATTCTCATCACAATCACTGGGTAAATGTAAGGCAGAAATTATTACACCCACATAGTATGGATAAGAAAATGAAGGTCTTGTGGCCACACAAATTAAAGACATAGCTAAGACAACAAAGCAGAATTTAACCATTTGTCCAATGGGCTCTTCAGAACACTAAGACTGCCAGGTGGGTGAAAAACCATTTTTAACCACATGAGGATGAATTCTAGGATATGACTGCCTTCTCGTGACTGAAATGAGAACAGAAGGGAAGGGGGTTATATTGAAGCATCCAGCAAACCTACCAGCATAACTAGAAGGGATGTGACCCCCTAACCAAAGAAATTGGAATAAGAAATATACTCTAAAAGTAACTGGCATTAGACTAGGAATACAAAGAAAAGTAAGATGCCAGCCTTGCCCTCAGTGGGGCTCAAATTCCAGCTCTCTGTCCAGTCTAAGCAGGGTCCCAATGGGAGTTCTTTAAAAGTAGAGAATTCCATTCAATGGAATGGAATTCTCTACTTTTAAAGAACTTTTAAAGAATTCCATTCCATGAAGGCTAACCAAAGACAGGCCTTCTCTTTCTCCCTCCCCACCCTTCCCCTCACTCCCAGGGGTCCTCTCATTGGCAGGGCCCTCCCTCAGAGGCTCAGGCCTCACCATCACTGAGAATCTGGCTGCTTTTTTAGATCAGGCTTTGTCTGAGCGGAGTCCAGAGCCCTCCCATAACGAAGTGGAGCCTGAGGGTACAGGGAAGGAGAAAGACTGGGATTTCAGAGACCAGCTGCAAAAGACGACTTTGCAGCTCCAGGCCAAGGAAAAGGAGGTGAGAGGCTGAACTCAGGTAGTCGTGGGGGGCTCAGCCTACAGAGATAGGGAAAACGTTGGAGGCATCCAGAGAGCAGGGATATTTCAACACCAGACCTTGTGATTGGATGCCTCCAGGTATTCATTTGACCGTAAAAAACTGCCTTGCTTTAGGGTTAGTTTGTCGATTGTTTTTTCTACCTCATACAATCCTCATTCATTTTATTAGCTGCCTTTTAGTAAGTCAACCTAAACTCCAACACGCTTAATGAACATTAACTCCTCACATTAACTTTGCGCTACCCTGAGTATGTTAAAACTTTATAGTCTTTTAAGGAACAAAACTCTTCCTATCTACAAATTCACAGACACATAGCTTCAGCTACTGACCAAGAGCCTTGTACTGTGGTTACTTCCAGGCCTACAGTGCTGTAAGAATTTCATTTTGTTGATGTCCCCCATTTACAAAGCACTTGCACACTGTCACATGAAAGCACATACTTATATAACACCTATAAGTAACTAATACATAACATGCATTATAATCACGCATGTAAATAAACCCATTCCAGACAAACTAGGTCACATAGCAAAAGGCAAACAGAAATCACTGTGAAAAGCTGGGAAGGAAGGAAGGTGGTACAAATTCCAAATGAATGAATGGGTAACTTACATGGGGCCCTCTCCTTTACCTGGCCATGACCTTGGTGGTATTCTCCCCCACAGTGCAGAGAACTGTATTCAGAGTTAGACAACCTCAGTGATGACTATCTTTCCTGCCTGCGAAAGCTGCAGCACTGCCGAGAAGACCTGAACCAGAGCCAGCAGCTGCCACCCGGAGTAAGAGCATGATCCTCCCACACAGCCCTAGGTGATGGTGGGACTGTTCCTCTTTTAGCCAAACCTTCTGACCAGCCTGTCCCATTCAGCTTGGTTTATACAGAAGTATAACAACCATTTAAGAAACACTGGCTTATGCACCCCAGCTTAATTTTCATTTGTTGTTGTTGTTAATCCTCACCCAAGGATATGTTCCCATTGACATTAGAGTGGGAGGGTGGAGAGAGAAGCATCAATGTGAGAGACACATTGATTGGTTGCCTCCTGCACACAGCCCAATGGGAACATGCAACCCAGGTACATGCCCTTGACCAGGATTCAAGCCCACAATCCTGCTGTGCACAGGACAACACTCTAACTACTGAGCACACCAGCCAGGGCTTTATTTTATTTTATTTTTTTTTTTTTATGGAACAACTCTTAAGCATGAAGGAACTTACTATTAGCTAAAATATGAAATGGTGGGGTTTTTTTGTTTGTTTTTTATATTTTTATTGACTTTTTACAGAGAGGAAAGGAGAGGAATAGAGAGCTAGAAACATCGATGAGAGAGAAACATCAACCAGCTGCCTCCTGCACACACCCCTACTGGGGATGTGCCCGCAACTAATGTACATGCCCTTGACCGGAATCAAACTTGGGACCTTTCAGTCTGCAGACCGACGCTCTTCCACTAAGCCAAACCGGTTTCAGCTGAAATGGTGTTTTTTTGGCCTATTGAGTGTAGTGGCAAGGACAGAATGAGGAGAGAAAATGTAACAAGGAGTATGAACAGAGAGCAATACAATTTTGCTGAGTTATTTTCCACCTTTGATTGGACTTGTATTTAAGTATCTAGCCACAGCGGGCTGTGGTCCCCTGGGCCAATGATCCTGGCAGGTGGACCAGTGACTACCAGCAAAGTGGTTTTATCCCAAGGCAGGTAACAGAGTGATAGAGAAAACCTTCCCCTCTTCCACCAATAGGAGTTCCCCCGGGGCCGGAAAGGGAAGGAAATTGGTTTTCACCTGTATCTTCTCCATCCAACCCATGGTTCTCTTTTCTCCCCCTCCACCCTCAGAGGCAGTGTGGCCGATGGCTCTCGGTGCTGATCCTGATGATTGCTATAGCACTAGCAGTGTTCCTGGCCAACAAGGACAGCCTGGTGATCTGAATAACTTGTGACAGCTGCCTTGGGTGAAAATCAGAAGCAAGAAAAAAAAAAACTCAATAAAAAACTCAGGTTTAGATACTTTTAAGTGTGGGTTTCCCCAACCCAACTGAGATTTCTAACTTTATTATTTTTTTCCACTTACTGTAAAATAAACAAACTTCGCCTGACTATCTCTGTTCCCCGGAATTGTTTATTCATGAATGACTGACATATCACATCACAAATATAAGACACTTGAGCATCCTAGTCTACTTTCCTTAGCCCAATTCAGTTGGAAGTATATAAACATGGAGTAATGCCCAGGTCTGCTATTTTTCTAGTGAACACTACCCACAGAGTATATTTACAACATTACCATACCATACATATAGTACACAAGGGTACATTACTTATCATCCACCTCCATTCTTCTCCACAATCTTTTTTTAAATATATTTTATTAATGTTTTACAGAGAGGGAGAGGAATAGTTAGAAACATCGATGAGAGAGAAACATTGATCAGCTGCCTCCTGCACACCTCCTACTGGGGATGTGCCCGCAACCAAGGTACATGCTCTTGACCAGAATTGAACCTGGATCTTCCATCCACTGAGCCAAACCAGTCAGGGCCACAATCTTCTTTAAAATTTCTATTTTCCCCCTTATGACCTTATCCACCAACCCCCTCACTTCCCTTCTCCACAATCTCTTTCCTTGTACCTTCTATCTAGTGAAAAAGGAATAGACATCTCAGTTAAGTCGAGAGGGCTCCTTAGTATAGAAATGGCAAGTATGAATTACCAATGCTGCTGCCACCACCACCTGTTCCCGTGCCCGTCACAGATGTGGCCAGTTGACTAGAGCATTCTTCCCCAGTGTTCTCAAGATGCTCAGAATTGACACTGGAGATGATGCCTCTTTGTAATCCCCGACTTAGAGCCGAATATTTACTGAGTACTCTCTACAGGGGGGTCAGTCAGAGGGCCACAGCTGGCAGGGTGACTATCTCAGAAGAGATGCTGAGGTCAGTAAAGTCATTCTGAGCCCTGCATCGAGTCCTAAGGTCCTTCTCCCAGGTGTCTAGAATGTCTCTCAGGGCTGGGAACAAGCTCTCTGGGACACTGAAGGAATAGAGCGAGACTGGGGGCTGACCAGGAAGCCATGAGATCCGAGCTGTGAACACCCGTAGTGGGGTCAAGGCCAAGCAGTTGTCATCCCCCTGGTTCAGGTGAAAGGTATAGGGGACAGGGTAGCCCAGGAGAATCCCGAACACAGTACAGAGATTCCAGTCTGGGGAGCAGAGTCTGCTGCAGGAGACAGCCAGGGAGAGGTCCCTCTGCAACCCCTGCAGATGGGTGATGATCTTGGCTACGAGGGACTTCAAGTCCTGAAGCTGGTCCAGGGAGCAGACAGAAGGGTGAGATTGGGAGCTGGAAACATCCACAAAGGCTACAGCACCAAGCAACACCTGCTGCAGGTGCTGACATACATGTTCAGGTATGACGATCAGGCTATTGCCTCCAATGTCAAGGATGTGAAGTCCCTTAGTCAGGAAGCCCAGGCCCTGCAGCTCTCCCAGGTAGCTCTGGATCTCCGATGTCCCTGCACCATTGCAATCATAGAGCAGAGCTGGCTTCAGTCCCCGGGCCACGGCCAGGACCTCTCCGGCTAGGTGAAGGCAGACAGCCCAGGCTGGGCCCCGTCTCTTTCCCACGCTCAGGGTCCGTTGAGCAGCTGCCACCAGCAACTGAGGACTTGGTGTTGACATGGGATCTGGAAGCAACATCTGGCATGGCCTCTTTAACTAGAGACAGTTCCATGCCCTAGGCCTCATCTCTGAGCTCCGGACACTTAAAGGACCTAAAAACAAAGCAGGACCACGGGATTATTAACAACCAGCCAGTAGCATACATACCAGGAAACCTGCCAATAGCCCTCCCCTGTCTTATAGCATCTTCCAAAGGTCATTTTGTCCCTAATGCTTTGGAATGCTAACCCAGGCCAGGCAGGCTGGGGTGATGTCTACGGTTGACTCCATCACCCGAAACCCCAAACTCCTGTGTCTTTCTGGATTTAGGGACAGATTTATATTCTTTCTGGCTTCTATTCTACATTGTAGCTTTTGTAAATTACTTTCTCTGATTCAAACTGTGAGAAGTTTGCGACAACGAAGAGGCAAGAAGACAGTCTTTTGCAACATTCAGGGCATCTCACCTAAAACTGCCCTCAGAGACAAGGGCTCCAGGTTCCAAATGTACTCTTTCCACTGCCCATGTCACCTTCTCTTCCCGCCAGCATAGTTCTGAGAATAGAAACCTGATCAAACTGATTTAATATATTATTAATAGAATGTGGACTGATAACCATCTCGCCCTATGAGAGTAAATAAATGGAATGTGTAAGAATTGCAGAGGAGGGTGGTATTTTAATTTCCGCCATCCCTCCCGGCGGACATCCCCGGACCCTCCGCGGAAGGGCTCCCTCCAATCCCCACACCCTTTTCTGGGCAAATGTATCGTGCTTTCTATCACATACACACATACGTTCTTCTTCCACTTCCGCTGCAGGTTCGCGGGCTCAGGCACTTCTTCGCGCTGCCACACAAGCCGCGAATCTAGCGCCCCACCACCCCACTGGAAAGCCCGTCCGCTTCACTTCCGGGCGGCAGAATCGGTCTATAGCGCATGCGCAATCCGACCCTCCTCCTCCTCCTCCTCCTCCTCCCCCCCCTCCCCGCCCCCGACGCCCCTTTCCATGACGTCACCAGCCCGCTCACGCGCCTCGCCCAGAGGCGGGTCCTTTCCGACCACCAGAAGCTGGCCCCGCCCCTCCAAGAGGCGGAAGTGGCCCTGAGAAGGCGGGACCTGGTTGATTGGCAGCCCGCTGCTACCTTCCTCGGCCTCGGGCAGCTGTCTCCACGCGGTGCAGAAACATTTTCATTTGTGTTTCGAAAGAAATGCGATTTCCCCTCCAAACGAGATTTATCTCAAGACGGCGCGACGTGTTTTGCAGGATCTCCACACCTCCTTTGGTGCTACAGAGTTTCAGAGGTTTGTTTTGTTTTGTAAACTTGGACCCGGCTAAGTCCTACATATGAGTGGCTCAGTTCTGAGGAGTGGGTGGACCAGGGCTACCCTGGTCCAGGTTGGTCGTGGCTAAGCAGGGCTACCCTGGTCCAGGTTGGTCGTGGCTAAGCAGGGTGTGAAAGGCAGGAGGACTCCCTGTGAGCAAATGTGTGCTAGGCATGCTTCTCGGAGGTGTCACAGTGCACAAAACAACTCCCCCCCTCACCTCCTACCCTTCATGCAGCTTAAATTGTCGGAATTCAATTTGCTAACTTCACATGAGAAATGAGACAGGGAGGTGCAGAAACTTTTCCATCAGGTCTTTAAGAAGAAAAGTAGTATTTCGCCAAAGGGTGAACACCTCTTTCGCTACCAGCAATCAGACCCATACATTGAAGGGAAAGACTTTGAGAAAACTTTTATCTGAGAATAAGCAGTATTCCTGGCCAACAATGACAGCCTGGTGATCTGAGTAACTTGTGACAGCTGCCTTAGGTGAAAATCAGAAGCAAAAAAACTCAGGTGGTTTAAGTGTGGGTTTTCCCAACCCAACAGAGATTTCTAACTTTATTATTTTAAATTGATTGATAACATGGGCAGGGCAGAGACTAAGGGAATTGCAGGCACCTACACTGGAGGTTTCACTACTGGTCCCAGCTTGAAGTGTCTTCAGAAGAGGAGGAGACCATTACGGAGTAAAGATGGGGCCAGCCTGGCAGGAAGACTAGTTTGTAGGGGCTTCCAGTCTCTCTCTGATCCCTAGCTCAGAGGGAGTCAGAAGCAGAGACCAGAAATGAGTTTTAGAATTTCTTCCTGCCCCATATATATTTTACCAAGGTGGTTACCAACAAATCTCTAAGATAAAAGACTGACTTAGTGCATTCATTTATTCTAACAACAAATATTTGAAAACATACTACATGCTAAGGGCTGGCATCAAAGTCCAAAATGAATAGTCCCTACTTTCAGCAAGTGTGTAGTCAAGACACAGGTGCTGAGTAATTACAAGGAAATTGATGAGTCTGAAAGAGAAAGTACAGGGTGCTCTGGCAACATTGACCAGAGACCTAATTATATGTGGTGAACCAGCACTTGCCCTCCCAAGTTACCTACAGAGGGTTCTTTTTACTTTGAGCTAACTTTGGAGGTAGAGTAGACACCATCTAACTCTTCCCAGTCTTCATCAAGGTGAAGTCAAGGAAGAAGAAGACACCAAGGGAATGAGTGGTTTAGCCACCAAAGGGGATAGTAACCTGGGTCTCCAAAAAAGAAAGGACACCCAGGACCTATCCATCAGGACCAAAGAAGGAACACTGAGGGGGCTCGGTGGAGAGCCTGCATGAGTCTCCCAGCATTCTCAAAAGGATTTTTTCAAAGAAACTGGGCTGTAGTTAAGACCCCATAAAACCACTCATCCGTTCCTCTGACATGTTTATAGTTTTCATTACAGTCACATTCTAAGAGTGTGATGCTTCTTGGCACTTCAGAACACTACTTTCAATACCCAGCTTCACATTCTCTGGGCCCCAATACAGATGGACAGCCTGGCTGTTAGCATCTCACAAAATAAGAAGGGACCAGCCCAGGACTAGCTGCTCTACCCATCTACATACAGTGAGTTCTTTATCCTTTGGAGCTATGCAGACACAGACAGAGGCAGACAGACATCAAAACAAAAACCCTCACTTCACCCACCCCGCAGAAGAACCAAAAATATAGTTTCTATGCCATGCATGATTTTTTGGACTCTAGAAGCCAAATTTCAGCTCACAGCTGAACACCTCAGCGTTACCCAGATTTCTCTTGGTCAGACTTTAGTAACAGATCCTACTAGATCCCTTAGAGACCCTAAAACTTGGGCTTAAGCATTCTAAATAAATCCTACTGACACCTGTGGTTAAATTGAAGCTATGGTTTTGAAATAAAACTAGCTTAACTTTTCAGCTAGCTCGACTCCAATAGCAAGTAGGAGGTGGCTTGGTTTAAGGATAGCAGACTAGACATGGGCTTTCTAAATATGGTCTGATGCCATTTCTAAATATGCTCTGACGGGTTTGGCTCAGTGGATAGAGCGTGGGCCTGCAGACTGAAGGGTCCCAGGTTCGATTCCCATCAAGGGCGTTTACCTTGGTTGAGGGCACATCCCCAGTAGGGGGTGTACAGGAAGCAGCAGCTGTCTCTCTCATTGATGTTTCTAACTTTCTATCCCTCTCCCTTCCTCTCTGTAAAAAAAAAATCAGTAAAAATGTATTTTTAAAAATAAAATATTTAAAAATAATAATTAATAAATATGGCCTGGCACCATAGCCATCAGTATTCAAGAGGATTGGGTGTGCTATCAGAGATTAGCATCATGTTTTGCTCGATGTCCTTGAAATTTAAATCATGTGTGATTTTACCCATAAAAAAAGAAGAAGAAAAAAGAGGTAAAGGGTCAGAGGCCTAGCAAAAGTTAACAGATAAGACCAATTCGTGGCACCTATAGATGCAAAGTTCAACACCTCATTATTCACATCCGGCTACCTCCGCTAGGGAGACAAGCAGGTTTGTGCTAAGGTGAGTCTTTTCTAGAAAAACACTTCCCAGCCCTTCTTCACCTCAGCCTTAACATACTCAGCACCCTATTTTTCCCAAATGCAAAAAACCCAAATGATAAAAAGGCTTTAAAATTCTCCAAACAAGAAGGAACTGTCCCTTTTCTACTCAGCAGAGTTTTCCTAGATGCCCAGCTCATCCCTAGGTCTTCCTCAGAGAATTAAAAAAAAAAAGAGGGTTGTCCTTTCTGCAGGCTGCCAGCAAGTCACACACTCACCTGCCACGCGCGCGCGCGCGCACACACACACACACACACACACACACACACACACACAGGGATGTCCAAGTGGTGACGAGGCAAACACCAGCCAACCAATTGTCCACAGGATCCAGGCCTTCTGTGTTGACAGCTTCCCTTTAGAATCTCAATTTATGAGCGTTTACTCCACAGGTCGGGTGACTTTCAGACTTTGGCACCCATTTCTATTTAGATATCATGTTTGGTTCCTAGGCAACCAGCTGGCTGCCTTCCCTCACACTTCCCCCATCAGGGCGCCGGCTTACTCTACTAGCAGAACAGGTCAAACAGATCAATCTTGGACAAATCAGTGCTTGAGGGAACTTTAATGAAGGCAAGAAAGAAAGAAAAATTGGTACAAGAACAATTCAGAAGGGTTCTGTTCCAGGCAGTTTTGCCTTGTACAAGTAGAATGAAGTCATCAAGTCCGAGTTTTAAAGCTGGCATTATTTCAGGCATCAGTCCAACCCCTTCACTTTACAGTAATGAATCTGAAGCCCAGAGGTTAAATGACCTGGCTCAAGGTCGTACATTGAGAGTAAAGCCATAGTTAGAACCCGGGTGTCCAAATCTCCTTCTACTACAGTTCTACTACCATTGGGATGTTTATAAAAAAAGAAAGGGAAAGTACAAAGGGTGATTTTTCCATAAATTAAATCAACTTTAAGAACCAGACTTATTTGGAGAGTCAGAAACTACTAACATTGTTAGAAAGAAAGCAGGTTTTACAAGCTGGTTAAATCTGAATAATAAAAAATATCCATATGTACAATATTGTAAAAAAGAGAAGGAAGATGGCATTGGTGATTACTGAGCCGGCAGGGCCGGGGGCAGCTGCATGTTGGGGGTAGACTGCATGGGCTGCCAGCTTTCCTGGGTTTGGAGGATGCGATACAGCTGCTTCAGCTGAGCAACGATGTTATCTTTAATGTCTGGAGTCGAGATCTGCAGGCGGACACTGCCACTGTCAAAGGATCGTGTGAAATCACCAGAAAACATCTCGTAGATCATCCGAGCCACCACCGGAATAACCTGTTCAGGACACAGAGCACACAGGAATCTGCTGAGGAAAGGGTATTTTTTCAACAGCAGGAGTGATTCAAGATTGAAGGAAGGACCAGTGAGGCCCTAAGGGGTTCCCCCACTCTAGATATAGGATATGCCTTCATCTCTCTGAACTGTCCTACTAGGGTTTACTCTAAAAGTTGGTTCACATGAAGGTCAAGAATCTATAATAGATGTAGCATCATATCAGGCATCTAGATAAATAACTGCTAATTTAGCAAGACTTTTACCCAGATTTCATCTATTGCCTAGTCTTGTTGTACAAACCCAGGGGCCAAACCCAAGTGATCTTGGTTTTACTTCCCAGAATAAGATTGTGATCTTAAAGGTAATTGAAAGGTTTTTGTAAAAAAAAAAAAAAAAAAAAAGGCTGCAAGGGTCATATCCTGTTCAGTTTCAGCAAGACTAATGTCAGTAAGAGAATGAAAGCTAAAGGTCTCCACTAAACCTGTCACCCACTTTGAGGACCTGGTATTCCCCATTGTGGACCTACTGTGCAATGTGCAAAGCTCACGTCTGCTACTCCCTCTGATGGGATTAAAACCCACTCAGTGTGAAGGGTCCCTGTTCAGGGCTCTGCCTCAGACCTAGGAGCTAAAGCTTTGATTAAAAGGTAAAGAGGTATTGACACACCCTTATCGCCTCACCTGAACCAAGATGAGTTTCCTTTCCGGGGGTTTCCCGTCTGGCCATTCTTCTCCAAAGCATAAGTAGATCTCGAATGGCGGCTGCTTCTCTATCTGTCCTTTCTGGTGGGCAATGAGCTCTGCAGAAGGTGGAGAGCAAGTTTGGTGTACTGGGCCATTTCGTCCATAAATGCCATCCTATTATGTGTCTATTCAATTTAATTAAAATTAGTTTCTTAGTCACATGAACATGCTTAATAGCCACAAGTGGCTATTGGCTACCATACTGGACAACACAAATACAGAACATTTTCATCATTTCAGAGGAAACTACCAAGTTAGACTTAGGGTTCAAGCCACATTGTAAAATTCACAATGCAGTGCTCTCCCTAAATTCACCTGCTTGAATTCACCATTCGGATATTTTTCAAAGGAGAAGAGTATACGTTTTGCTGAGTATGCTGAACAGGGTCACCTTCCAAAGTTAAGGATAAACTGGTAGCATTTGGGAGCTAATGCCAAGGCTGTTTCCCTCTTCTGCCACTAAAGGTGCTAAAAACCAACCAGAAATAGCGCTTAAGTACATAGCATTGGAGTGGAATGACCTTTTTTGTTGCCCAGGTCACTTTCATTTCTCAGAACTACTGTTCTTTTTTACCTTTACTTCCTCCAGAAAAAAAAATATTTTTTTTGGCTAAAATCTTTGCAGAGCCAGGAAAGTGGGGAGGAATGGAGGAAGATATATTTCCAGGGACCACTTCCCACCCATCAACCTTCTGAAAAGAGACTCACCACTGAGGAATGTTTCCAGACAAAAGAGTTTGACCTTCTTTTGCCTCTCAATCAGGTTGGGAGCAACAAGTGATGGGGCGCATGGCCCCGACCAGTACACCTTGCACTGACACAGCCTGATGGCATAAATGGCGTGGCCGCTGACCTCGAGGATCAGTCCTCTGTCCATGACGTCTAGCAGCTTGCTGGTGAACAGCTTCTGCTTCTCATTGGTGATGTGCTCTGGACCTGGGAACTTGACCTGCTCCAGACTGACAGGACCAAAGAGCTCCTCCTGGTCAGGCATGGGACCCAGGTCCCCATAGAAGAGCCGGCAGCCCTGCGGGTTGCTCACGGTCAAGGTCTGCACATACTCTTTCCCACGATACTGAAACTTGATGTCCAGGTCAGTCACTGCAAGATGAGAAAGGACAGTGAGAGCCCTGCTCTGCTGCTCTGCCCATTTATCCCTACGACTCAGACAAGTCCATCAAGATTGAGCCACCTTTCTAGCAGCATTCAGGAAGGCCACTGCCATAGTTATCCTTCCTGCAGCAAAGGGAGACATCAACATAACCCTGAGACAGTCACGCCAAAGGCTGTCTTGAAACAAACAGTTCAAAGGTCCATCTATCCTATCTCTGCTCAATCACCACACCCTCTGGGCTAGAATTCCTCCAAGCTAAGGTCTTCCCATTGCATACTGAGTCTTTGTATCTATAGGCATTGGAAGGAGCTTGAAAATAAGCTATCTGGCTTGTGTCATATTTTTGTCTCGTTGTTTAAAGAAACCAGAGAAACAAGAATACCAACTCATCTTTCAATATATTATAAAAAACATGCAGCTCACAGCAAACTAAATTTTCCCCAAATCCCCTAGCCAAACTGATAAAACCAGGACTCCCACCCACATAAAGGTGAGTAACCTGGAGCTGTAACCAATCAGAGCATCCTCATGGGCAGTTATGCATAGGCTAATGTCTCTTTATTTCTGTCCTGGTAACTCGACATCCGCTGGCCTATTTCTGCCTTGGTAACCCATCATCAGTTGGCCAGGAACCATGCGCAGAAGGTACCTGTGGAAAAGGTAGCTATTCTACACAAGGCGAAGAAACGGAAGCAGAAGGTGAGGCAGCAAGGGACTCTTATTAGGAGCTGAAGACCCATCAAGAAAGCCCAGGGCTCACTTACTTGGAAGAGAGCTGATCCACAGCTCTGGAGAGCTATAAAAGGGCTGTATAGGTGCCTGGGGTACTTCCATCTCCAGAGGTTCCGTTTTGGGCCACACTGCTTCAGGGCTGCAGTTGCCCACACTGCAGTTGCTTACACTACAGTTGCCCACACTGGCCGGTGCCAAGGGAGAACCTAGAACAGAAGGATGTGGCTGAGCAGGCAGGGGCACCACACATGCACAGCATCTGGTCTGAGGCTCTAACACCTAACAAAGTCAACAGACAAGAGTCAAACACTGGACCAAGATAAATGTGGCAGCCCGTCACGGATCCCCACAACTAACACAACAAGAAACACTTGCTCCTGGGAAACATAATCATATCGGTTTTCCCATAAACTCATAGTCATGAAAACCTGGGTTTGCTGAAGATTAACAGAGGGGTGAGTTTTCTCTGGGGTTAAATCAGTATGGGCATGTATGAGAGGTTCCCTGTTGTAAAATTTGAACCCTGCAATTAAATAGAACCTGGTTATCTTTCATAAAATGAACTCAACAGAATCAGTTTGTTAGCTTTGAATAAGTGTTAATTTATCAGAATTCCATTAAAAACAAATACTTTTACATGCATTAAACATCTGGAAGGATACTCAAGGGAAGGAATTAGGAGGTTCAGAGACAGGGATGGAAGGAAAACCTTCCACTGATTATCTTTTTGTACCATTATGAATTTTAAATTATTTAAGTATTTAATCAAAAGTACTCAAATAAAGCTATTCTTAAAAGATAATTTTAAAAACCCATCTATTTCTTTGCTATTGGCCAGGTTGGCTCACTCAAAAGTCTACAGATATCTCCTCCTAGCCTCACCTCTTAGGCATCTATTCTTCCACAATTCTTCTTCCTTTGCCCCAACAGCTCTGAAATCACAGAGGTTAATGTTTCTTGGACCCTTTGCCTGGTTAAATCTATGTACCCATTTTACTTTTTTGTTTTTCGTATATGCTACACATCTTCCCAAAAAGGGTCCAAGGAAGCATGCAAGTATCTCATTTGACCCATAGCAGTCAGATGAAATTAGAAAAGCAGGGAAAGCTGCTCAACTGAATGCATGTCAAGGACCATTTTAGTGGGCAGTTCCAGCAAAAATGCTGCAGAGGAGCAGTTCAGCTTGTGTTGAAGCATCTTCTGGACAGCAATGGGAGATTTAGTACCTGCCCTATCACACACTGACCTTCCAACCTCTCAACTCATTTTTCCTGGGAAGCTGAATTTAAGAAGTCTACAAAAAAGAGAACCAAGTTGGCAACATAGGTAAACGCCCATTCTTGCTGCCTCCCACATCCACATCAAAATTACAACTAAACAAAACAACTATCATCCAGAACCTCCAGAAAGCTGACTGAATGCAAGTACTTCAACTAGAGAAGTAAAGAAGAAAGCATACTGAGACTGGTAGGAAGTGCAGAGGCACAGAATGGGCTGGAGGGAGATAATTGGGAGGGAGATAGCCTCTGTGGAGGCCACCCACAGGAGCAAAGGGTCCCAGCTCCACATCAGACACCCAGCCAAGGGTTTCAAAGCTGGGGAAAGAAATCCCTATGGGCATTAAGAACTATGGACTGTAAAAAAAACAGTGTGAATTGGGCCTGAGTGACACACAGGCTGCTGTAGACCCAGCTGCTCCTCTTAAAAGGCCAGTACCCTGAACTTAATTTACAAGATCTCACTTCCTCTGAGCTCCAGTGCCAGATGAGGCTCTGGGGGACCCAGACCCATACAGGGAGAAACTGGACTGTCTGGCATCAGGGTTGGAACTTAGAAGTGCTTACAGCAGTCTTTGTTCTGATACTGGGACCTCCCTGGTGCAGGGCTAACTGGCAGCCATTTCAGTTTGCTCCACCCTGGTGATTCCCTGAGACCCCGCCCCACCCAATTTATAATCCCACCCAATTTATAACCCTACCCAAGCTGTGAGCAGAAGCTTTTGCATATGAATGGTCTTTTTTTCCCTCCGGCTAAAAATTTGTCAGACAAGCTACAGCTGGGTCAGGGATTCCCAAACCCATCAATAAAAGGCCCAAGACCTGGCACCAGCACCAGCCTGCCTTGCTTCACAGCTGGGCCTCGACTGGGCATTTCCAAACCCAATACAAAGAGGAGGAATCTGCAGATCTCTCTAGCTCCTGCTGGATGGCCCCAGGCAGTGGCTTTGCACCTCCCTGGAGACCCAAGAGCCAGTGTACCCAGTGGTCAGTGTGAGACCATACCACATTACAACTCTTTACATGCATAAGCAACATATTCAAGGGCAGACTTAGGAAACACCAAAGCCCCACTGAAGCAAGTCCTGCTCCGTAAGGGTATCTCCTACACAGCAGTTCTCCCACTGTAGTCACAGCTGGTCCCCACAGCCAATTGGCCTGGAGCTCAATTCCTCCCAGTGACACCAACAGCAATCAAAGTTCAACTACAACAAAACTGTGCACACAGCCCACAAAGGGGTGTTCTAACAGTGTCCACCTCAGGTGATTGGGTAAGCTGAGCCACAGGCCCTATAGGCACCTACACAAGGCCTCTCTATCAACTAAAAGAGATTTAGCAGCTACCCAAAACATAGACACAAACACAGGGAAGCAGCCAAAATGCAGACACAAAGATGACACAAATGCAAGAAATGAAAGAAAGCAAACTACTGGATATAGCGACCACAATTATAAGGATACTCAAGAATCTTATAGAAACCTCTGAGGAAATTTGATTTTCAAGTATCTTAGTGATAATGCCAAAAAGAAAAGGACCAGTCAGAAATTAAGCATACACTGATTGAAATAAAGAATAATATAGGGAATTCAACATTGCCTAGAGGATCCCGAGAATCAAATCAATGATTTGAAATCAAGGAAGGATAAAATATCCAATCAGAAAAGCAAAAAGAAAAACAAATAAAAGAATATGAAGATAGTATAAGGAGCCTTTGGGACAACTTCAGGCCTACCAACATCCGAATTACGGAGTGCCAGAAGAAGAGAGAGAGCAAGATATTGAAAACCTATTTGAAGAAATAATGACAGAAAATTTCCCCTACCTGGTGAAAGAAATAGACTTAAAAGTCCAGGAAGCACAGACAACCCCAAACAAGAGGAATCCAAAGAAGACCATACCAAGACACATCATAATTAAAATGCCAAGGTCAAAACAAAGAGAATCTTAAAAGCAGCAAAAGAAAAACAGTTCCCTACAAGAGAGTGCTCATACGACTGTCAGCTGATTTCTCAACAGAAACTATGCCGGCCAGAAGGGAGTGGCAAAAAATATTCAAAGTGATGAATAACAAGAACCTACAACTAAGATTACCCAGCAAAATTATATTTAGAATTAAAGGTCAGATAAAAAGCTTCACAGACAAGAAAAAGTTAAAGGACTTAATCACCACCAAACCAGTATTATACGAAATGCTGAAGGGTATTCTTTAAGAAGAGGAAGAAAAAGAAAAAGTTAAAGATAAAAAGTATGAACAACAAAGTGACAACAAATACATATCTATCAACAATTAAATGTAAAATTTAAAAATTCTGATGAATAGAACAAACTGGTGAATGGAATAGAATCAGGGGCATGGAAATAGAACAGACTGATGATTCTCAGAAGTAAAGGGGTGTGTGGGTGGGTGTGTAGAGAGAGATTAAACAAATATCATATATGCATGTATGCATACCTATGGACACAGACAATAGGGTATTGAGGGCCTGGGGTAGGATGGGTACCAGGTAGAGGGGAGCTATTGGGGAGGAGGGGGGAAGAGGGACATATGTAATAATCTCAACAATAAAGATTAATTTTTTAAAATTATTTAAAAATCCACAAAAGAAAAGTCCCTAGCAGATCAATCCTATCAGAGCCAAGAACTGAGGGCAGTAGAAACCACACATTCCCATCACAGAGCCTTAGCTGAGTAGACCCTGTTCAGGAAGTGACAAAATTTATATTGAGGAAAAGGGCAGAAGAGTCTGCCTACAATTCATGAAAACGATGCCTGCAATTTGGCCTGAAAGAAATCAGCAAAATGTATAAAGTTTTGTATGTGGGACTGAGAATTAATAAAAAATTTTAACTGCTTGCCTATGACCCCTATTTGCTAACAGACCAGCAGCCTGGCTCCCAGTGCAGTGGTGGGATCAGCGGGAGCAAGGTCAAAGCCCTCCTCTGGACCAAATATCACCCCTACTCACCATTGATGTTCAGGAAGGGAAAGGTGTCCTGGATGGGAACATGGTGCTGTGACTGGTCCAGCTCATCTTCCTCATCTTCTTCATCCACATCATTATCCTTCTCATCCCAAGGAGCAGATCCAGTGGATCCTACCAAGAAAGAGGCACACAGCTGCAAGTGAACCCCTCAGGTTCTGCTGTGAGTGCTGCAGCTCCCCCACTGCACAAGCTAGGGACAGCTAGCACAGGGGGTCTCCGGGCTCAGTGTGCACCCTCAGTGCCCTAATCAAGAAGAGTGGAAGAGTGGATCCCTGGTTCCAACTCTTCCCACAGAGCCCTTATGTAAGCTCTCTTCCCCTCCCCTATTAAGGAACTGTATTCCTTACTCCCTTCTACAGAAGTCTCTTAATTTGTATTATAACCCTCTTCCTACACATTAGCATCTCTTTTAAGAACTTCAGGACACCAACTTCTTTCCTTTGTAAGCTTAATGTGAGAACAGACCCTTCCCTCCTGGCAGGGCCTCACCAGATCCGCTGAGGACAAATCAAAATTATCTGGCTCTCAAATAAATAAATAAAAATAAATAAATATCAGGCTCTTAATCACTTCTTGTTAAGGATTGGGTATATAGCAGGATCAGGTGGTATTCTCTTAGTAAAAGTATCCTACAACTAAATGGCCACTCACATCAACATTTATAAAGAGAACTTAAGAGCTTTTACACGTTACACCAATTGATTCTTGCAATAGCCTTCGAACTAGGCAAGAAAGATAAGCATCCCTATTTTACAGCTGAAAAACTGAGACTCAAGTCGGTCAAATGCCTTGAGTCAATGTCCCACAAATAGTGAAGGGACAAGAACCAGCTTTAGAACTCAAACCTTCTAGGTTTTATCTCTTCTTTCTTCTAAACTACCTGGCCTCTGCCCTTCGTGCTAAGTCCCAAGTAGCTATTTTTTTGGTAGAAATCTATGTTATACTCCTCTACTTTCTAAAGCTTTAAGCAATCAGACTAGTACCTATCCCCCTAAATGAGCAAGAAGATTTTGCTGAGTTCACATCTTCTGTTCTCTGGGTCCCTCCTAGGGAAAGGCTTTCTTGCTTTACCAGTCTTAAACATAAAAAGCCAGACAATTTCCAAGTCAACTATTTCTTTAAGAGTCCAGCCTAGAACTTGACAAATGATCCACCTTCTCCCCAGCAGCTGAGGCCTCACCTGGGTTAATGATGGAGCCCTGGGGCTGGGGGATGTCACACACTTGATATATCTTCACTGGATTCATGGGCACCTCCTTGGTGCCATCATACATCAAGTTGAATTCCCTGCTCTTGTTGAGAGCACAGCGGAGCTGGGCCTTCCATTTAGCCGGGTCAGGGTCATCCACCCCTTCCTGGTACTTCCCTGTCTCCACAGCCCAGGCCTGAGGAATAGGAAACTGCAGTGAGTGCCTACTAATGCCCAGAAACATTGCAAAGTCTGTTCACCCTCTCTCACACAGCAGACACACACACACACACACACACACACACACACACACACATACACACACACTGGGGCCTGCACAGATGACATGGAGGATCCATGCTGATGCAGCAGAAGGTAGCACCCACCATAAGGCCATCACTGTGATTTATAAATATCACTTGTTCAAACCTGTTCTGAGTCATACTTCTGAGGTTCTGGCCACTGTACAGGTCCCTATTTCTCTTCCTAAGATGGAAATAGCCCCTGCATTTTTATGATCATTTACGAGTCCCTTCCCATACGTTTTTCATTCAGTTTTCACAACAATCCTTGCGAGGCAAGAAAGACCGGGTTCATCCCCATTTTACTGAAGGGAAATCTAAATCCCAAGGAGATTGTGTGACTTGCTCAAGGCCACACATGCAATTGATGGTAGCAGGACCTGAAGACAGGTGTTGCAATTCCCAGTCAGAAGGGGCAGGATGAAAATGGGGAAGAAGATAGGCCTGGGTTCAAATCATGACCCCACCATGTCCTGGCTGTGTGATTTCAGCAAGCTACTTAGCCCTTCAGAGACTCTGCTTCTGCATCTACAACCTTCCAGAGCTGTGAGAAATAAATGACGTAATGGACCTAGCGTGTGGGTCAGGCACCCACTTCAGGCTAGCGCCCCCACCCTTATCCCACCATCCTGGCAAAGGCCAGTCAGAGCTTTGGATCTGTGAAAGCAACCTCACTTTTCTCCTAACTGCCAAAGCTCTCCCTTAGCATTCTGCAAACACATACACAGAAATGACAAAGCAGCTTCCCACCGTCCCCTTTTCTCAAGCCCTAAGCACGCAGATTGCTCTTCTGAGTGGGGCTTCCAGGAACCAGCCTCTTCGTCCATAGCCAGCCACCACCAGATACGTCAACAGCAAACCCAATTTCAGACCAGCTGGACAGGCAGGGTAGGCCCATCCCCCCTCTGTGCCAACTCGAATGTTGGTGCTGGTTTACAGATGTTTTCCTATCCCTATTGTATCATTATTTAATTTTAAATTAAGTGCTCATTTACGTATTCGGGCCAACTTTCTCTCTGCCTCTTCTCTCTACACCTGACATAACTGAGTCGGGTGGGAGACATCTCCAGGATGGCTCCCCTTTAAGATGTGAGCCCACCTTTCCTGGTCCAGTCTCAGCAAGATCTTGACAAGCCCACAGTAGAGACTGAATTTCACTTCTGACTTGCAGCTTACAGTCAGGAAACAAAGCGTGAATTCACTTCTTGGTGTCTTGGGGGTGCAGTAACGAAAGTTACTCACGAGCTGGAAGACTGGCCAGCACAGAGAAGTTGATCTGGGGATGGGGTGCAGGCTCGCAAGTTACCAACCACATCACACCCCTGCCCACAGCAGCTTCCCACCTACTTCTGGCTAAGTCAGCTCTGGTTTCACTTAACATTTGTAACCTGCCAGGTGGTTAAAACTTGTTTTCAGTTAAGTAAAAATGACTCTTGTATCACGACAAATTTTTTTTAATGTAATTTTCAATTTTTTAAGTTTTAAATTATTTTTCAATTACAGTTGAGGTATAAAATTATATTAGTTTCAGGTATACAACATTGTGATTAGACACTTATATAATTCATGAAGTGATCCCCTTGATAATACCCACCCAACACCATACATAGTTATTTCAATATTATTGGCCATATCCCCTATGCTGCTTTTTATTTATAGAAAAGATATTTATTTATAGAAAAAGTAATGAAAACATAATTAAATCACTTTTTAATTTTTAAGCAGAGGCATGGATAGGGCAAAATATGTCAATATCAAAAGAAAAACTTGCAAAGGGTCTTCTACACCCATCCTACAGATTATGCTAGGAACCTGATGACAGACACTCAGTAGTCCTGCCCTGGTCTGAAGAGCCATTCCCAGGCCCAAATACCTTTCTTTATAGCAAGAACCCTGAGGGAATAAAGAGGAAGAGTCCATTGCTGACACTTGGGAGCTTTTGGAACAACTCACAGGAGTTTGGCCAACCTTACCCCGGATCCTTTGGAATGTGAATTGAGTGCCTTGGACCAGTGGGAAAGAATAAATGACCTCATCCATCACAGACGTGCCCCAACAGGAGAAATTACTATGCCTGTGAAGTTTGGGCACCCCCATCATAAACACTGTTGCATCAGCGTTTTGGATTTAGGGTATTCCTCATGTCAAAAGAGAAACCAGAACAAAACATAAAACCCAACAGAGTTGGAGAGAATGGAAAACGTGTAAGTCAAATGGTGAGACTCTTTACCTTGAAGATGGTATTTTCCTCCTCCTGTTGGGGGCTGTGCCGGGTGGCATGTTTCCAGGGAATCTGGAAGCGTTTGGAGTCCCTGTGCAGCCAGATGAGCCCAGGGTACAGGCCACTGTCCACCTGGGCCACCAGCCAGGGCTTTAGCCGGACTCTGCGGGGGTGGAGGGCCATGATCTGGTTGGGGGAGGGGGAAGAGATGGGGATAACAGGAGAATGAGGCCAGTTGCTGGGAACTTTTCCCATCGCTGTTCCCTTATGATAGAGCTACAGTTTCATTAGATTACAGCAGAGAAACTAAATATGGGAATAAACTGTGCCAGGTGGGGAAGAAAATAAAAGAGGTTAAAGGGTTCTTTTGATTCTTATTCCAAAGCCATTTATACTTCATGCTCTAGCCAAATCAGACTTATCATGTAAGCAGATCACATTTCTTCTATTTAAATCCTGGAGAAGAAAAATGAAAAGATGATGTCATCTCTGCTGGAACACAGTCCTTCCTGAAGTATCAAGGGCTTTAGAAGAGAAAGAAAATTACTCTTTTTTTTTAATATATGTTTTTTATTGATTTAAGAGAGAGGGAGAGAGAGATAGAAACATTGATGAAATAATTATTGACCAGTTGCCTCCTGCACACGCCCCTCCCCCCACCCCCCATTGGAGATCGAGCCCACAATCCGGGCATGTGCCCTAACCAGGAATCGAACTGTGACCTCCTGGCTCATAGGTCAACCATGGAGCCACCCCAACCAGGCGAAAATTATTCTTTTCAAACTTGTCTCAGGAGACGGAAGAAAAATCATTATGGAAACAATAAGGATATGGGCACAAACCTGAAACATGCTCTCTTTTTAGAAAACTAAAGATAAATGGTAATATTTTAGTAAGAAACGATACCTTCATGGCTGGGGGCAGAGAGGGGAGGAGGGGGGGTCCCAGTTCCAAAGTCCTCACTTACATAGAGCAGGTAGTATATCCACCAGGATCTGAAGAGCTGGGCTTTGAGTCAGCTGTTCTTTCTCTGGGCCACCCAAAGATTCTGTACAGAAAAAAAAAGGGGGGGAGGGGGACTGATTTGGTTATCCACAGAACAATCTAGTGCGTGGAAAAGGACCTGGGAATGCTGGAGACAAAGGCTCTGAGGACCCTGCCCTGCAGCCGAGTCTGGTCAAGCTCAGAAACCTTAGAACCGTGGTCAGCAAACTCATTAGTCAACAGAGCCAAATATCAACAGTACAATGATTGAAATTTCTTTTGAGAGCCAAATTTCTTAAACTTCTTCTAATGCCACTTCTTCAAAACAGACTTGCCCAGGCCATGGTATTTTGTGAAAGAGCCACACTCAAGGGGCCAAAGAGCCGCATGTGGCTCGAGAGCCACAGTTTGCCAACCACAGATGGCCTCCTGACCCGGGTCTGCTTATTTCCCAGAGGCTGGAGTGAGCTGGCTGGTTGCAGGAGCCAGCCTGGGTAAAGTCTGCAATTAAATCTCATAAAAATACCCAGACATAGCAGATAGCACGGGAGGCAGCCTTCGCTCACAACAGTAAACAAAGGTTTGCCTCGATGATGTGCCCAAAGGAAAAGCTAGTCACTGAAGAATTGTTTGCCTGGAATGTTGTCCTTAGAGTTTTATTATTTATTTTTTGGTGTTCTTATTTTAGTTTGTTTTTATGTAAGGTGAGAAAGAAACACCTAAAAACTAACATTCATTCAGCAAATAGTTGGCCATCAGCTATTGAGTGTCCAGCACTCTGCTAGTTACTAAGCACTAAAGCTCAATGTTTCCATCAGACTCCTTCCTGAAGATATCCACATGAGAACTGCTCAAGCCCCATAAAGCCCTGAGGAGGAAAGGAAGACAAATAAGTCGCCTTCATCCCCAGAAAAACCCCTACCTGGATCACAGTTCAGAAACCAAATCGGTTGAGTCAGTGAAAGGCTCCCATTCAGAGGCGCTTAGCTGAGGGGCTGGACCATAACTCCGCTTCTCTCCCCAGCTAGACTTCCATCCAATGGGGGAAAACCCAATGCCAACTCAGCCCTGGCACTTTAAGAGCAAGGCAAGACCTGCTCTCACCTGAGCCTTCTGACCCAATTACCATCTCCTGCAACTGAAACCTTCCCCCTGGGGAGCACAGCTCAGTGAATAGGTGAGGCTGGTTGGCATGCAGAATTCAAGTGCCCCCCGTGCCCCCACCCCCCTGGTCTTGGCCTTGGTTTAGGTTGTTTTGCAGGGCAGCAACACAAGCCATCAAAGCCCAGAGACCATTACCTTATAAGGAGGAGGAAACACATTCTCCCAAGGGCAAGTTCTACTTTCTCCTCCTCAGTCCTAGCCTACTAGGAGGGGGAGGGGCAAGGGAAGGATGAAAAGAATAGAAGAATGGGCAGCCAACCAGTCAACCTAGCGAGGGGCTTTTGAGAATGTATATTGCAAAGCATCCAAGTCCTGTGTCTGGGCCTGTCTGACACGTGAAATCGACCTGTTGATGGATCATGGACTTTGAAGAAAAGTGTTTATTCTAGTTGATCCACAGCCCATGAAGAAAAAATTAAGGCAACCAGGCCAACACGAGGAACTGCACATAGTGATGGGGAAGGAGAAGCAGCCACCCATAGAGACCGGTGATTAAGATCTAGAGCCCTGGTTCTCAGCGTTCTCCCGAGATGGCCGTACCCAAGAACAACCCGCCCCAGCTTGCCCTCCTCCACCTTCTGGAAGTCAGCCAAGATCTCCCCCATCTGCCACCCAGTAACTAAGACTCTGAAAACAGGCAGAGAGGGGGGAAATGGAAGCAACCAAATAACAGAGGAGAATGGCTAATTACATGTTCACAGGCTGCAATATTAAGCAGCTATTAACAACAGGGCAGCTGAATAATTTTTATTGGATTTGGGGAAAATGTTTACAATATGAAGTTAAGGGAGAAAATGCAGCATATGCTATTGACTGCCCAGTAGTATCTCCATCTTGTAACAACATGCATGTGGATCCGTGTAAAGGGACACACAGAATTTTAAAAGGGGAATGAAAGAATACACCAATGCAACGAGACATTCGCAATGGTTACCTGGTGACAGGATCATGAGTGAATTTTATACTTGCCTATATACTTTTATATATGATTCATCTTTTCCTGCAATGACATGTTTCCATTTATACTTTTTTTTAAAACTACGAGTAGTATTCTTTTTAACCACAGGAAGCTAAGACATTTCTTGGCACTGTAAGGTATAGAACAGTGGTTCCCAACCTTTTTGTGGCCATGCCCCATCTAAGCATCTCTAAAATCCTGATTTCCCCCCCAACCCCATCCCATGATATACAATTCTCATTATTCAAAAAGTGAACTCTTCACGTGGAGGAAGCCTAAAAGGCCAGTAACTTGGTCTAAACAAGCTTCCAAAGAACATGGCATCCATGAAAGAGAAAAATAAAAGAATGAAAGCACAGGTGAAGGACTGAGGAAGAAATTGTTAAAAATAATAATAATATGAAGTGATATGAAAAAGTAGCAAATGAAGTTTCAAAACATAATAGAGAACTGAAATACATAAACATGTCACTATATATTTAGATGCTGTATTTGAGGCCCCTAGGACCATAAGAAATGCAAAAAAAAAAAAAAAAATCACTGTTAACACATTCTCAAATTGCCCCCCTTAAAAATCAAATTGCCCCCCTCCTCCTGTGGGGCGTGTGCCCCACATAGGGAACTACTGGTACAGAAGACAATGGCCTTCAACGGATGAGACCATGGTAACAACAACCCTTTTTATCTACACAGGCTTTACAGTTTTTATATGTATTTTTACTTAATGTGTCTGATTCCATCCCCTTTTGTAGCTGGGTTAACTGAGACACAGAAAAGTTAAGTGCTGTATCTGGGGCCTGGATCCAGCACCCCTGAATCAATGTGCTGTACCAAGTCCTGCCACTGCACCCCGCCATCCAAATCTCTCCCTTCTTCTACACACAGAAAGAGTGAACCAAAAACACCAACAAAGATGCCAACAGCATGGAGAGCCAATGAAGCGGCTGGGAGAAGACTACATGACACCCCCCTTCAAACACACTTAGATCAGAGTTCTCTTTCCAATCACCCTCACCACCCAAATCCCAATGCCCACAGAACCACCTCGGCCCAGTTGAACTCAGCCCTGGCATCTCTAGCTGCCATCCCAGCGAAATTCAAGGCCTGTGTATCCAACATGTATTGAACCAGCCAAAGAGCAAAGATGCTAATCTACCTCCTCCCTTCATACTGGGCACTGAGCAGGCACATTTTCAACCTCCCCCAGGCACTAACCATGCTCTCTCATACCCCCATTCCAGGGGGCCAGGCCCTCTATAAACACCCCACTGCCCCCTCTGCAGCTCCTGCCCAGACACGGTTCCAGGGGGCACAGCTACCCCAAAGCTGAGATCCGGCTGTCAGAGATTTTCTGCTATTTCTTGCAGACGGGCCTCAGCGGAGGTCCTGTTTTTCCCCTGCTTCCCAGAGGGAACTGAAATGCCAACTACCAGGTTCCCAGTCGGGCCTCTCTGTAGTTCAGCCCTGCTCAAGGGTAAATTCTGGGTCAACAGCCTTAATTCTCGTGCCCGTCTTTTCTGCTGGTCTGAATTTGGGATCGGCGAGCGGGGGAGGGGGGGGGGAGCGCAGGGTATTGGGTGCTGCTGTCCTCATTCCTAAAGGACGATTCAGGCTCCCCAGCCGCCTTCTCCCTCTCCCTCCCCAGGCTTCCACTTTCCATCGAGAGCAAGGTAGGGGCAGGGATGACCCCTTTACCACCGAGCAGGCTCCCTGTAAAGTGTGGCACCTCAGGCCTCCCTTCCAGCCCGGCCTGGGAGACTTTCCACATTTCTCCACCCCACCGGCCCTCCAGCACGGACGACGGGAAGAGGCCTCACCCGCAGCAACCACGCCCGGCGCCACCCTCCCAGCACCCAGCCTGTCTACTTGGAAATGCACAGGTGTCTCCCAGGGTGGGAACCGGGCTGTGCCAAACAAATCCCGGGAGAGAAAACAAACTGGCTGAAGGCCTTCTTGGCCTGCCCCCACCCCCGATCTCCCCCAAACACCCACCAGCACCCAAGGCCCGCGGGCCTGGGAATTCCCCCTTGGGAAATACGGAGGCCGGTGGCCCAGCGAGCCTGCAGAGGGTGGAGGCTCCTTCAGCTCCATCCGACGGCGGGTGGGTGGCAGGAGCCGAAGGCGGGTGGGGCGGGGAGGGAAAGGGAGAGTCGACCGAGTGTGGGGTTGGGGAGCGCCCAGCGCTGCGGGGCTCGGGCACCCTAAAAGCTACCTGGAGATGGGCGACAGTCAACCCCACAGGCTATCCCCCCCCCAAAAAAAATACAGATGTCCCCAAGTTTTCCTAACCCCGCACACTCAGGAGCGGACCTTTCTCCACCAGCGGCGTGTCCCTCCCAACCACCCCTACCCCCCAAAACCCCAGATTAACCTCCAGAAGCTGGCGTCCCCACCTTTCCTCAATCCGGCTACCAGAAGCGGACGTCCCCCCGAACCATGTCACCAGCTGCGATCGCCCGTCGCCGCCGCGCTCCTCGACAGGTCGGGCAGGTAGCACCGGGCTCCGCGCAGGCAGGGAGTGCGGGCTCGGCTCCCGGTCCCGCTCCGGCGCTTACCTGCTCCGCCCAGGTGCGCCCGGCCCACGTCATCGCCGCCCCCCAGGCGCCACCTGGCCACGCCCCCAGGTGAGACCACGCCCCCCGCGCTCCCGATTGGCCGGTTGCGAGAACTATGACACTCCGTGCTGGCGGGCGGCCCCGCCCCTCTCCTTACCTGCACTGAGAAAATGTGCAGATTCAGGCTCACAAACACCTTGTGCCCCGGGAGGCTGGTGGTGGTCCAGGGCACTGGAAGCGACGGGGAGGTCAGAACTAAGTCTGGAGAGGGTGCCACCTCGCCTTCATGCCCCATAAGTACCCTGCTGGGTGGAGACTGTTCACCCCAGATTCAAGGTTTAGGGATTCGGGGTGGCCCCGGCCATCCGTGGGCCTGTGCAAGCAGGATATGGGGAAGGGACTCGGGGTCTCCCACAGAGCAGGAATCCCGCCCGGACTCCGCCTCTTACCTGGGTGACCCTGGCTGAGTGTCCTGCGTCTCGGTTTCCTCGTCTATTCAGTCACGCTCTGGTAAAGATGAAAAGCAAGGCAAGGCGTCTGGAGATTCGCACCCCAATTGTTTATCTCATTTCAAAGTACTGGGATTCAAAGCCCAACTCCCTTGGTTACCACAGACTCAGGGGAAGTTTCTAAGCTACCCAGACCCCGGTTTCTTATCTGAGCTGGAACAAAGTAAGTCATAGCTCCCTGCTCAAAGGATCTTGTGGGGATTCAGAAAGTTACTGACTATAAAGTGATCGGAACGATATTTGGCACTCGTCGAGCGCTATATAAATAATTGTCGTGTCTATTAATGTATAAGGATAAAAAGTACCATTCAGGCAGAGCCTCACAGAACAAGATGAAATCTCCAGTTATTGCCTGAAATTCAAGGCCTCTAGATCCCATAACAGGCACTTGATGAGAGAACCCCTGTCCAGACAGAATACGTGCTTACAGTGAGCTATGCACCACTGCACAAGACCCCCGACTGCACTGGGCTGTCATCAGTAAGAATGGCATAAGGCCAAAACCGGTTTGGCTCAGTGGATAGAGTGTCGGCCTGTGGACTGAAAGGTCCCAGGTTCCATTCTGGTCAAGGGCATGTACATTGGTTGCAGGCACATCCCCATTAGGGGTTGTACAGGAGGCAGCTGGTTGATGTTTCTCTCATCATCGACCTAACTAGCTCTCTATCCCACTCCCTTCCTCTCTGTAAAAAAAAAAAACAACACACAAAATAAAATATATTTTTTTAAAAGACCTAAAAAAAAAAAATAAGAATGGGCATAAGCAGAGTACTTAGGTGTTGGAGTTTAAAGCACTGAGTGAGAGACCA